CTGTGGATTTTTGTCTTCGCGCACCGTGCAAACCTCGAAAAAGCCGATTGCACTGTGCACATTTTTGATCAAAATCGCCGCGGCGCAGTTGAGAAAAGCTTACGTCGCAGCGACATTTCAAATGCACAGTGCAAAACCAAAGAAAGGTCAATGCACGGTGCAAAAAATCGCGGACGTTTGTGCACAGTGCGCGCAGCGACAAAAGTCCAGGCACTTTGTGAAAATGCTAATAAAAAAGGGGAGTGTTGTTGCGAAAAAAGTTCAGAAGACTTTTTCACCCTTACAAACCAAAACTGGGCAGCTAATTTTAACATGTTCTGAATCAGAAAAATTTTGCGATTTTTTGATTATGTCTCCACCTCTGACTCCATACCCCCATAGAAGAACTTTCCCAATGAGATATTTTACATTTACCTCCAATGTGAATAATATCCGGATAATATTTTACGCATCCGCCAAAAAATGATTACCCTAGCGACTTTGCGAATTGATTAGTTGAGATAATAATAATAACTACAGGCCTTAGAATTAGGATAATTTATTATCATTTTGGTGACAAACTGTGCTTTACATGCATTACTAACTTGGAGCAAATTTTGGTATCTACTGTGTTACAATAGCCCAGGGTCAAGAAAACTGAGGCTAGCAATAGTTAAAATTTTAAAAAGACATCATATAGCAAGTCTCCGCCGAGCGTCCGCCGAGCGTCCGCGGGGCATCCAACGGCTTTGCCAGGCCTCTTAAGAACCTCCCACAACATTTTTTTGGGTCTCCGTATGTCTTACAAAAATTTTCAACAAAAAAAATTTCATTTTTTTACAATTTTTGCAGTCCTCGGCATCCTCCATTTTTGGTCATCAAACCCGTCCCCCTTTCTATTTCCGTCCACTTCCCGCCATATGTAGCATTATGTCATCGGTGACAAGGGCTTTGAACTCCGGGAGTGGACGGGCGCCACAGATTCCTGCGTCGCGGTCGCTTCGCCGCAGAAACGCCATTGTGGGAAAGTGCGAAGAAAATGAGGCCGAATATTTCCCCTGGGGGGAATTCCGCCCTTCCGCCGGCCCGACGATGACCTCAAATCTCGGCCGCCGCTTCGCGTTGGAAAAGTGCCGCAGGGGATTTTTTGTTTTCTTTTTGTTTTTTTATTGAAACAATATGGCCGTTACGCTTTATCGCCGCGATTATTACAGATTATTTGACATGATAGGAGGCGGAATGATGGGACTTTTGATTCGGAGGGATATTAAAACGCGGAGGGTGGGATAAGGGGTGATTATCAGTGCGGGTGGCAGGCACAATATGGTGGATGGGACGGGGGGAATTTTCGGGCACATATGGATGAGAGAGCGGTCTTTTGGACGGGTTATGATTGGCGGCTTTAGCTTTACTCTGCTCGAAGGCTTTGCTAATGGAAAAACTGGGATTTTGCAAGTACTAGTCGCGACATAAAGTCCTGAGAAATTTGCACATTGCATTTTTGTTTTTCCTTCGGACCCGTCGCGGCAATTCCCCGTTTTTGCACTAGCGACATGCACTTTCGCGCGAGCCGCTCCAATTTTCCCGCGCGACACCCGCGACAAAATGTGTCAGGACTTTATGGCGCGACTAGTACTGCTAGTCGCGCCATAAAGTCCGTAGAATTTTTTCGCCGACGTCGCGGGTGCAATCGCCGAAAAGTGCATGTCGCTAGTTCAAAAACGGGGAATCGCCGCGGTGCGTGCGAAAAAAAGGGTTGAATGCACTGTGAGAAATTCTACGGACTTTATGTCGCGACTAGTAATAGTTACAGTAGGGGATCTGATCCAGTGGCAAAAAACGTACCGTTTTGCTCCGATTTCAAAAGTACGTCCACTTTTTTTGTGAGGGATAGTGCGTGCCCTTCAAAACAAAGTTTTTTCACTCGGAGAGTGAAGCATTTTGCCGCATTTTTGATGCTTCCCGAATGCAAAATGGTACATTTTTTGCCACTGAATCAGGTCCGTCACGGTATGCTGACTCCTGATTTTCCAAGTATAGGTTATCAGTCTGTCGGAAAAATAACGGCGGATCGTCGCGCCTCGGAGTCGCCCGTCAACGCTTTGCGACTGTAAGCCGCGGCTTGTTGGTGCGCGATAGCGGCGAGGCAAGACATTTTGCTGCGACGATCCTCCGTTATTTTCCCGACAGACCGATATGACGGGACAAAGAGGCAATTTGAAAAAAGCGCAGCAAAACGTTGATCCTCTGTTGTCTGTCGGGAAAATAACTTGGTTTTGTCGCAGCAAAATGTCATCTCCCCTCGTCGCAGTCGCACATCAAATCTGCAGCCGCGGCAAGCCGTCGATGATCGGCGATTCTAAGGCGCGAGAAGCCCGCGTTATTTTCCCGACAGAGCGATATAGACTGGTCGAGAAGATAATGTGGATCTGTCGTAGCAAAACGTCTCACCTTTGGTCAAATTTTGTCTTTTCTATGGAAAGGTTGAAGAGCTGAAAAAGAGCTCTATGGTAAGCCTCATCTATTCTGTCGAAAAAATAATGAGCATCATGTCGTTGCGTTGATCGCGTCGCTGAAGCGAAAAGCAACTTGGTTTTGCGGCGGCACAATTCATTTTCTCGGCGGCGATGCGATTTTTGAATGCGATAGAGCGCTCATCTTTCCCGACAGACTAATATTTTCCCGATAGGCCATATACATATTTACTATTACGTTGTAAGCCGCATTTACAAAAGCCGCTTTTCCCCGACACTTAGATTAAAAAAAGTTTATTTTACTTCCAAAAACCCCATGAAAATGGCATTTTGATTCTCATATTCGCTTTTTTCATGCTGCCATCACGTACATACTCACTTTTTCATAGCCCAATGAACGCTTTACAACGTCTCTTTCAGACCTTTTCATATCAAAAAAACTGTTAATTTCGTCGCAAATCCGCTGAATGTAGGTCTAATAATGAAAATTGCACCCTCACTGAATGAGGCCATTAGTGTTTACGGCGCTGTAAACATCCGTAAGTAACGTCTAATACGATTTTTTCACTTTGGCACGTGTTTAGTCATGATTACGTGGATTTTTATTATTATTATTACTCTCCGTTAATATATAACATTTATCTGCTATTTTCAGCATAGTAAGACGGTTGTAACCCCTGGAGATGATGTCATATCAACCGGAACAACAAGACTTCTTCGACGGATAAGATTGCAGACTACCTTTCGAAGTGAGTGGTGGGTTTACATCATTTATTGCTTTTGAGTTTTTAGGTGAGCACCGTTTTATTGGCTCATTCAGGAGCCGGCAATTTTGCGAAAAAATAGGGCAAAGAGCATGGATAGTATGTAGTGAAGAGCGTTGTATTAGGATGTAACACAGAGTAGAGGGCAGTGTTGTGACACTTGCGGGCGACCAGGCTGCGGGCAGACGATATTTTCCGATTAGAATTACGAGTTTCCTCATGTAATCTACGTAGTGTGATAGAAATTTTGCAATGACAAATCCCTGGTACTCGATATTTCCGTTTGAACTGGGAATTGCCGGGATAAGGGTAGCCCATGCGCTTTAACAAAGCAATACATAGCTAGTGCGAGTTCTCGGGGCTTTCCGAGTTCAGGGGGATGTTTCACGTACAAAAGGGCACTAACTTGAGTTAGCGGCATCACGCAAAAAGAGGAGAGAGCAGAGAAAAAGAGGAGTGGTAACTTGAGTGATCCCTCTTCTTTTTGATTGGCGAATCGGGAGACTTTTTATGGACTTGGCCGGACATTTTAGGCCATAACTTTTGATACAGTGGACCAATTAACGCCCTTCCAAAAAAATAATAATGCTGGCGGTACACAGAATATACACATATAAATTTGTAAATTTTCCTTTTAAATTATGCAAATCATATGCAAATTTTTCTCTTGGTATTTAACAAGCAAGGTACGGAAAAAATTTTGAAACCGTCATATGCAGCGTGGTCCCCGCTTTAAAACTTTCTTAAAAATTTGCAAATTGGTTTACTGTGACAAAAGTTATGACCAAAAGATTCTCGCCCACTGTTGCGCGGGCCATTACCCCTGATACAGTATACCAATTTACACCCTTCAAAAAACCCTCAGCTCCCCATGAAAGGTAATTCAAACCTCAACGTTTTGCCCATTTCAAACCCCACATAATGAAAAAATTAGAATCATGCAAAAAATGTAAATTAGAGTAAAAATGTAGCGGTGGACCCGGTTCGATTTTTGAGATGGATGAAACTCTCGTCACAGCTCCCAAGGTTTGATCTACTGGACCAGTAGATCAAACCCCCTACGTTGTACATCGAACCCCCTACGTTTGAGACTTGGATTAATCGTTTGAAAATAAATTTTGGGGGTTCAGATTGGATGAGGGGGTTTTTACTGGGTCATGGGGTCTGAACTGGATCGGGGGTTTGTACCTTACTAGTTAGCCCCGAGTGCTCTATTGAATTTTGAGAAGGCTAGGCGACGAACTTACGACCAAACTTATGGCTTTTTGATGGGAATGTCACAAAAACGTCAAAGCCCTCAAAAATCTGATATCATCGCCGGGGGATGAGTGCGCAAAGTACTATATAGGACTTTCAGACAAAGAAGAAAGGGAGAGTATAAAATTTGCCTTCTAATTTCATGGAAGAGATTTTGATGAATTTTTTTGTGATGAGTCATCAAAAAAATAAAAGAAATTAAAACCTTTTATCAGCCTGTCGGGAAAATAATGAGAACAATGTCGCTGCGCCAATCGCGTCGCTGAAATGAAAAGCAATTTGAACTTCTTGTGACACAAGTCGTTTTCCCTGCGGCGATTTTCGATACAACCGAGTGTTCATTATTTTCCCGACAGACTGATAAAAGGTTTAATTTTGTTTTGTTGACCTCAACAAACATTATTGCACAAATGTTTTTCTTCGAAAACAAACCTCCCATTTGCAGCTCCCACCGGCTCCCGTGTCCATTTTCACACCGACCCCACGTAAACACCCCTCTGTAATAACATCCGCGAGGGCATCGACAATGGACCGAAACAACAACTCCACGGCCGGCTCGTTCAGCCAGCGCACCGAGACGTTCGTGCCGCTGCTGCAGGCGCGCGGCCACGTGCTGAACCGGCACTCGGCGGGCGGACAACGGGTGCCGGGCGCGGTGTCGCGCATCTCGCTGAACGAGTCGCAGCATCTGAGCACGGCGCGCTTCTCCGCCAGGGATCTGCCGTTCAATGGGTGAGTGTGTTTTTTGAAGATACTACAGCGTTTCGAAAGCCTCATGTTGCAGCGACGTTTGGCTCATTATTTTCCCGACAGACTGGGGATTGAGCCCGAAATCTCCCCTTTTTTTGAACAGTCCCCCTTGAATGCATACTCCCCTTTTTTGAACATTCCCCGTCAATTTGAAAATTGAAAAAATGAGATATGACATGTTATACGATGAAAAAATGAGGTATGACATGTTATACGATGAAAAAAGATTTCAAATTGAAAAAATGAGGCGTGACATGTTATACGATGGAAATTTTTTCAAATTAAAAAAATAAGGCGTGACATGTTATACGATGGAAATTTTTTTAAATTGAAAAAATGAGGTGGGACATGTTATATGATGAAAATTTTTTTTCAAATTGAAAAAATTAGGTGGGACATGTTATACGATGAAAAAAAATTTCAAATTAAAAAAATAAGGCGTGACATCTTATACGATGAAAATTTTTTTAAATTGAAAAAATGAGGTGGGACATGTTATATGATGAAATTTTTTTTTCAAATTGAAAAAATTAGGTGTGACATGTTATACGATGAAAAAATTTTTTAAATTGAAAAAATAAGGTGGGACATGTTGTACGAAGAAAAAAAATTTTAAATTAAAAAAATAAAGCGTGACATGTTATACGATGGAAATCTTTTTCAAATTGAAAAAATGAGGTGGGACATGTTATACGATGAAAAATTTTTTTCAAATTGAAAAAATTAGGTGTGACATGTTATACGGCGAAAAAATTTTTTGAAATTGAAAAAATAAGGTGGGACATGTTATACGATGATTGTCGCCACTTGTCGCATCTCCCCAAACGGCAAAAACGATTTCGCAAGAACTGTGCATAATGGTAGCACTTTTTTCTTTCTTTCCATTTTTGAATTTTTTTGCCAAAAAGTAATTCCTAATGAGATATTTGATTAGTTGTTAGGAACTTTGCTTTGTTTTTTGTTTTAAGCGGTTTCACTTGGACCGGATGACAATAAACCTTTCCTTGCAGTTGTTTTAGAGGCCAGACGGGTCTAAAAGTTTATGTTTTTGGGGGGAGAAAGGTGTGAAGGTGAGGTGAAATTTGGATTGTCATCATTTTTTTAATATTTTAAAACATTTTTTTATTGGAATTTTTCGTCTTTTTCATTAAACTTATTTTTTTTATAAATTTCTGAACTTGATTTCAAACTGTCGCTATCGTCAAAATTTGGCCGAAATACCAGTCTGTCGGAAAAATAATGAGCACTCTGTCGCATCGAAAATCAACTGTCGAAGAAATGAATTGTGTCGCGAAAAAATCAAATTGCTTTTCACTAGAAAAAAGTAGTATCAGTTTGTCGGGAAAATAATGTGGATTTGTCGTGCTTTGAAATCGACCATCATCGCTTTGCGACGACTGGAGACTTGATGCGCAACTGCGACGAGGCGAGATATTTATTCTTTTTCGCTGCAACAAATCCACATTATTTTCCCGACAGACTGAGGTCGGCCTGTCGACAAAATAATGCCGGTTCTCGCACCAAGTGTCTGCCAAAAATAGCTGTACTCTCTGACTGTCCCGCCATCGAATAAAGACATCTAAAGATGACCGCCTAGAACCCCTAACATTCCAAAACAACCGAATTCATTTACGTCCAAGGATCACCTAAATTTTTCATGAACATTATTCTTTTGTGTTGTCTTCGCAAAGCTTTCTTGCTTGTGGAATAAAATAACCGCCCGACGTAAAAAAATAACCGTGGGGCCGAGGGAAAAACAAGTCCGAGTAAAGGAATTTTGACCGAACAAGGAGAGCGTCCAAGTGCGACGCTCAGATTTTCGAAATTGCATTTTCCTATGTACAGTGAGGGACCGGATCCAGTGGCAAAAAACGTCTCATTTTGCATCCCGGAAGGGACCAAAATGTCTCCAAACCCTTCCCTTCGCTAACAGGGGAAGTACCCCAAGTGGGACGCTCAGATTTTGATGAAACTTGGCACAAATTTAGAGTAATTTTTTCGAAGAGATATGCGAGAATCCTAGCTCGCGCTTTGCAGAAACAACCGAGATTTTTAGATCGAAAGTCGGCCAAAATTTAGGACTTTTTGTCGAATTTCGGCACGACAAGTTTCATGCCTATTTCTACCGTAAAGGATAATGTTTCTACAAAAAATCAAATTTTTCCGAACGAAACTGCCAAAGTTATGGCCAAAAAGCGTTTTTCTCTCTGACCGCTCTCCACGTTTAGCACGCTCTCTCGGCGGCATAAATCGTTTGATATCTCGACGGCGCCTGCAAAGCGCGAGCTAAAACTTTCAGGAATTGATATTTAGTCTATTCCCGACGTGTGTGCAAAATTTAAAGAAAATCTGAGCGTCGCACTTGGGGTACTTCCCTTGTAAGCTAAAAAACCCCCGCCTTGAAGGAAAGGGCGCGCTTTTCAAAGCGAAGTTTTTAGCTTAGAGAAGGGAAGGGTTTGGAGTCATTTTGGTCCCCCTGATGCAAAATGAGATGTTTTTTGCCTTTGGATCAGGTCCCTCACTGTATTACAATGATTGTGACAATAATTTCAGGGTGTGTCCGCCGCGTGGACTTCTCCGTGGGACCGGCCGTCTGTCGGGGGTACCGCGCAGCAGCAGCATGCAGAGCTTCCTTCCGTCCCAGAACAGGTGGGTTTTCATGTTTTTGCATTTTGTTTTTTTCTGCATTTTGGTGTGTTATAAACAAGGACTTCTCAGAATATATGTATGTATATTCTGGGAATGTTTGGTAAAATTCTAGAAGTATTTTACTTAAAATTGGACATTGAAATCTGGACGTCATTTTCGAAATTTTACGGATATTTTTGACTTTTCTTTTTGCATTACTAAATGCCCTAAAGGTAATAAAAGCTTGGCGCTTTGGCGCATAGTTTACATAATTTTAAGGGTCATGATTTTTAAGGGTTATTACTTTACTTCCCATCTCTTGACACCTTATAGTGCCTTTGCAGTGACGGACTTGATCGATCCAGTGGCAAGAAACCTACCATTTTACCTCCAGGAAGTATTAAAAAATGTAGCAAAATATCTCCCTCTCCAAGTGAAAAAACTCCAATTTCAAAATCCCGCCAGCTCTTTTTGTGAAAGAACGGACGCGCCTTTCTAAACATAGTTTTTTCACTTCGAGAGGGAGGCATTTTGCCACGTTTTTTGATACTTCCCGGAGGCAAAATGGCTTGTTTTTTTGCCAATGGATCAGGTCCGTCAATGTACGAGCCTTTCAAAAGCGCGCCCGCTCTTTTTGTGAGGGAAAAGGCGCTCCTTTCTAAACATAGTTTTTTTTTACTTGGAGAGAGAGGCATTTTGCCACATTTTTTGATACTTCCCGAATGCAAAATGGCATGTTTTTTTCCACTGGATCTGGCTTGTCACTGTAAATGCTGATGACAAAAAGACGATGTCATCATCAGTGCCTCGCGCTTCGCATTTTACCTTCTTTTAACCCAGAATTTTATTTACAGTATTCCCAAAGAGGTGAGTCTATACATGTTTGTATGTATTGGCTTGCTAAACGCTCCAAAAATTTTAAAAACAAGAAAATTACTGCTCAATTAAGTAAGACCCATATTTATACACCTTGACCATGATTTGGTAGATTATCAAAAAAAAATCCTTTCGTTTCTTAAATTTTAATGTTACAATCAACCCTTTTTGCCATTTTGTTTTTTTCACAAAATGCATGGACAATTTTTCTCTTTCGCACAGTGCATTTTGAACCTTTTCCTACGCTTGTCGCCAACGCACAGTGCATTTTTCTGGCTTCGCACAGTGCAAGCCACAATTGCATTGCGAGCCTCTAATGTAAAAAAATGATTTTCCTAGCGAAACCTCAAGTCTCTTTATCTATTTACAACCCCAAAAAAGGATTGTTTTCGTTTCAGGACTAACTAAAAATAATGTTTTTCCAAAAAAAAAATTTTCCAAAAAAATTGCAAGTTTTTTATTTTTCCGTGGCAATTGCCGAAGACGTGCATTTCAACGCAAAAACAATTTTGGTGTGGGCGTAACAACAAAGACGCGGAAATGCACGGTGCAAAATAGGATATTTCTTGCACGGTGCGGGCAGAGAAAAATGTCCAAGCACTTTATGAAAATACGAATATCAGTCTGTCGGGAAAATAATGAGCTCTCTGGCGCTGGGTCGATCGCTGAAGTATGTAAGAATAAATATGATGTTCCCGCGACACAATTCACTTTCTCTTCGGCGATGCGATTTTCGCTGCGACAGAGTGCTCATTATTTTCCCGACAGACTGATACTACGCGTTTTCGAAAGTGCATAGACTTTTGTCGCTTTGCAAAAAACTCCCCGATCTTTCATTATTTTCCCGACAAACTGGTAGTACAGCCCTCAGGAGAAAAAGTCTTGTTCTTGGCGGCGATATAATCTTTGATGCGATATAGAATTTGACGTATAGCAAACTTTGCTGACCGACCTCTCAGTCTGTCGGGAAAATAATGATTTTTGATGCGACATGTTCCTCATTATTTTCCCGACAGATTGATAAAAAACTGAGTTTACAGTGGGGGACCTGATCGAGTAGCAAAAACGTACCATTTTGCATCAGGGAAGCATCAAAAACATGGCAAAATTCTTCCCTGTCCAAGTGAAAAAACATCGCTTTGAACGGCGCGCCCTTTTTCCTCACAAAAAGAGCGAGTTTTTTCACTTGAAGAGGGAGGCATTTTGCCACATTTTTTGATGCTTCCTGGATGCAGAATGGTACGCTTTTTGCCACTGGATCAGGTCCCCCACTGTAATAAAATAAAGAAACTCGGACTTAAACCGCACTCGAAACCTTTTATCATTATGTCGGGAAAATAATGTGGATTTGTCGCCGCAAAATGTCTCGCCTCGTCGCAGTCGCGCACCAAGTTTCCGGTTTTACCATTGGCAAAAAAAGTATAATTTTGCATTCGGGAAGTATTTAAAATGTGGCAAAATACCTCCCACTACAATAAAAAACTCCGTTTTGAAAGGCGCGCCCTTTTTCCTCACAAAAAGAACGGGCGCGCTTTTTAAATCTAAGTTTTTTCACTTGTAGTAAGGAGGTATTTTGCCACATTTTTGATGCTTCCTGGATGTAAAATGTTACGTTTTTTGCCACTGGATCAGATCCCCCACTGTATCGGGCCGTCTCCCAAATCTGCTGCGGTCCGGCCTGGGAGCCATGTCTACATAGTCGGCCCTCTCATTGTAATCATTGTTTTTACTCCCTCTAACAATGACCACTTCCGCCGCGAATGTCAAAATCTCCGCTGGCCCGCTCTGCCCTCACCTCTGCTCCCCATGAGCCCGCTAATGAGTGAATGTGTAATAACCTTCGCGCCGGCATCTACATCGCCTTCGAGGGGGCCGATGTTCGTGGTGGGGGGAATTTTTGTGTATTCCTTTTGCGGAAAAAACGGCTTCAAGGTGCAGCGGAGAAGTCACAATTGTTCCGTCTCCATTCATTCGATGGCACTGCGGGATCTTTTGGAATAAGACGTCCGGGCCCGCCGCCAGCCCCTTCTGCAATAATTCCGCCTTGGGCTAAATGAGTGGCGCAGATTCCGAGTTTATTCCGCGTTCCCGGCGAAGGGTGACGTTCAGGGGGGCCTCAAGTTATAAACTTTTTGGCAAGGGGAGTGTTTGAAGTGCGAATTTTCTCTTTGAATTCCGCACGCAAATTTGGCCTAGGCTGCTGATAAATGGGCGCAAATTTTAGGTTCCGCTTTGCAGGTGGGGCCGAGATATTGAACGATTTTTGACGTAGAAAGAATAGACTAAATGTGGAGAGCGGTCAGAGAGAAAAACTCTTTTTGGCGATAACTTTGCTAGTTTCTCGCGGCAAAAAATGATTTTTTATGGAAACATTATTCTTTACGATAGAAATAGGTATGAAAAATTTGTTAAATTCTCGCCGACTTTCGATCTAAAAATCTCGGTTGTTTCTGCAAAGCGCGAACTAGGATTCTCGCATATGTCAGGGGAAGTACTCCAAGTGCGACGTTCAGATTTTGATGAAACTTGGCACAAATTTAGAACAATTTTTTCCAAGATATATGCGAGAATCCTAGCTCGCGCTTTGCAGAAACAACCGAGATTTTCAGATCGAAAGTCGGCCAAAATTTAGCGCGAGCAGATTTTCATTAAATTTTGCACACACGTCGGGCATCAACTAAATATCAATTCCTGAAAGTTTTAGCTCGCGCTTTGCAAGCGCCACCGAGATATTGAACCACTTTTTCCGCGGAGAGAGTGCGCATAACGCGGAGAGCGGTCAGGGAGAAAAACGCTTTTTGGCCATAACTTTGCTAGTGTCTCGCGGAGAAAATTGATTTTTTGTGGAAACATTATTCTTTACGATAGAAATAGGTATGCAACTTTTCGTGCCAAAATTCAACAAAAAGTCCTAAATTTTCGCCAACTTTTGACTAAAAATCTCGGTTGTTTCTGCAAAGCGCGAGCTAGGACTCTCGCATATATAATAGAAAAAATTATTCTAAATTTGCGCCAAGTTTCATCGAAATCTGAGCGTCGCACTTGGGGTACTTCCCCTGTTAAAAAGATAAAAAGATTTGTCGCACCACGACTCACTTTCCACTCCCGCTCTGATTTCTGGGGAGCACAGCATTCCGAGGTTTTTTGCCGCCACCGATCGGTGCCGATTTTCGCTCAAAATGACAACAGGGCTGCGCGCCTCGGCTGATAACTAGCTAGCCCAAAAATGAAAAAAGAGTAAAAATTGATTTCCAGATAGAGTGAAAAAAGACCTATCCGATGATATAAATAGGTCCTATTGACTTTCTCCCCACAACGATCTTTTTCGCCTACAAAATTACAAATTTTTTTTGTTTATTCATGGATAAATGCACTTTATGAGGGCATAATTAAAAAAAAATGGTACCACTCGATAGCAAATGGCCTCTTCTATGACATATCCAAAAATAAGGGAAATTCTGGCCCTTAGGGCACTAAAAAATCCAAAAAAATAGCGTATTTTACGTGTTTTTGCATATTTTTCGGGATTTTTTGCACCGGATGCACAAAAATGAAAAATCGGCTGTTATAGCGTTGTAGTGCACACTCGACTACATATACCTGCCAAATTTCACGTTTTCATCTTTACTCCACTTTGTGTTCTGAGCCGGTTTAGGTGTTAAGGCAAAATCGCTGCATAGGGCAATGCCGGATGCCGATTTTAATTTTTTTTTTCATTTTTGAGACATATTGCGTTCATGTCAATATTAGATACTGATTTTTGCTCCAGATGACAAAATGCCCTTTCGTAAATTGACGTAATGACACCAACGTGTTTGAGTTCAACATGACGAAAATAAGGGAATTTTTGTTTCAGGACTAGCATTTAGGTGACAGCAGACCTGCCAGAATATGCTCCGACGTTTATTTGGCTAGAAACAGGTATGGAATCCGGATGCAGCGACGTCCCGTAACACGTTGCACATATGCGATTTTACTTAAATTTACGTTATATACATGACGTTCAAAGTCAATACGACTGAAAAGACAGAAATTATTTTTAAAATCGGCATCCGGCATTGCCCTATGCAGCGATGTTGCCTTAACACCTAAACCGGCTCAGAACACAAAGTGGAGTAAAGATGAAAATGTGAAATTTGGCAGGTATATGTAGTCGAGTGTGCACTACAACGCTATAACAGCCGATTTTTCATTTTTGTGCATCCGGTGCAAAAAATCCCGAAAAATATGCAAAAACACGTAAAATACGCTATTTTTTTGGATTTTGTAGTGCCCTAAGGGCCAGAATTTCCCTTATTTTTGGATATGTCATAGAAGAGGCTATTTGCTATCGAGTGGTACCATTTTTTTTAAATTATGCCCTCATAAAGTGCATTTATCCATGAATAAACAAAAAAAATTTGTAATTTTGTAGGCGAAAAAGATCGTTGTGGGGAGAAAGTCAATAGGACCTATTTATATCATCGGATAGGTCTTTTTTCACTCTATCTGGAAATCAATTTTTACTCTTTTTCATTTTTGGGCTAGCTAGTTATCAGCCGAGGCGCGCAGCCCTGTTGCCATTTTGAGCGAAAATCGGCACCGATCGGTGGCGGCAAAAAACCTCGGAATGCTGTGGGGAGGTGTCCGAAAGCCACTTGCACGGTGAGAAAAGCAGGAAATTGCACAGTGCAAGTGAACTTTTGTTTTCGCATCGCGGAAATCAGGCCGGCGACTTTCCGGATGGACGAGCATTTCCCCAAGATTTGATATGTCCGCCACGTCCCTGTTGTTTTTAAATTTTTTAAGGCAATACTTCCAAAGCGGCAAAAAAGTTACAGTATACAGTAACCGGCTTCAAAATGAATTTCGACACTCCTTTCATCTGTAATGTTGTTTTTATCGCGCCACACATACAGTGAGGGACCGGATCCAAGGGCAAAAAACGTCTCATTTGCATCCCGGAAGGGACCAAAATGACTCCAAACCCTTCCTTTCGCAAAGCTAAAAAAACCCCGCTTTGAAGAGCCCACCTTGAAGGAAAGGGCGCGCTTTTCAAAGCGGAGTTCTTTAGCTTAGAGAAGGGAAGGGTTTGGAGTCATCTTGGTCCCTTCCGGGATGCAAAATGAGACGTTTTTTGCCATCGGATCAGGTCCCTCACTGTATACCTAATTTGCCGTTACTCTTTATTTTATCGTAAAAATTTTATGGCATTCCCTTTAAAATAATTTGATTTACCTGCCATCAGCTGTTAAGTTATTGTTTCGCCTTTCTAACCACTGACGCGCTAAGAATTAGAGACGCGTTTGCAAACCAGTAATTTGAGATTTTGGCTGACGTGTTGAAAAAACTGTCAAAAAATCTATAAATTTTTGTTCCAAAACATCAAAAAATCGAGCTTTTCACCCAATTCTTAGTAAAAAAAAAAAGTGTACTTTTGATCTCTAAAACCTATTAAACATGCCGAAACATCGCCTCAGGCACGTATCCCTCCTTCGCGTTGTATTTGCATTCCCTCAATAATTCATGATTTTGCTGACAGCGCATGTAATTTGACCGAGAGTAAACGCTATGACCAGTACGGCGTACGAATACCCTCTACCGGCGACCGCTGCGAAGGAGTTGTGAGGAACGTAGGCTGAATGCTCTCCAAGGCCCGGTTTGCGGCCAAGGTTTATCGGTAAGTCGGGGGAAAAATGGGGATTTACAGAGGGAACTGGTAAATGCAGCAATCAGATTTTTAATGGAACATATAGTAAAAGTTTAGCATATTTCTTGCTAAAAGAATATTTGAGACTCCTAGTAGTGTTTTCATAAAGTTCATGGCCACATTTTCTCTTTCACACAGCCCATTTTCAACTTTTTCCCACGCTTGTCGCCAACGCACAGTGCAATTTTTTCTTTTGTCGATTGCGTCGCTGAGCGTACAGTGGCGGACCTGGTCCATTGGCCAAAGACGTACCATTTTGCGTCCGACAAGCCCCAAAAATGTGGCAAAATGTATCCCTCTCCAAGTGAAAAAACTCCGATTTCAAAAGCGCCGGCTCTTTTTGTGAGGGAAACCGAGTTTTTTTAGTTGGAAAGGGAGGCATTTTGCCACATTTTTGATACTTCCCGGATGCAAAATGATACGTTTTTTGCCACTGGATCCAGTCCCTGACTGTAGTAGAGGCATGCTCGTTTGTCGGTCGGATTTCCCAAAAAAGGTGGGGCTTCCGGAAAGCCGCAAGACTGAAATGGGCAACATGCATTGTGAGCAAACCAATGGTTTGCTTTTGCACTGTGCAATTTCTGGGGCTAAGATAGTACAGCCCCCAGTCCAGTTTAGCCCCCAATAACCCAGTACAACCCCCCTCGTCCATTCTGAACCACAAAATTTATTTCAAAGAATTAATCCAAGCTGTATGGTCCAGCATAAGCCTCCTACGTTTTAGATCAAGCCCCCTAAGTTTTAGATCAAACCCCCAACGTAGTAGATCAAACCCCCACTTACATTTTTTGTATTATTCTAATTTGTTCATTATCTGGGGTGTGAAACGGGCAAAACATTGGGGGTTTGAACTACCTTTCGTGGGGGGCTGAACTACCGAAGCCCCCAACTTCTTTCTTTTTCCACCGTTCAATAGGTTTTTTGTCGGCTGTCGCTCTAACTTTTTTCGCACCGCGCAGACGCCAAACATCAGTCTAGCGACTTTTTGCGCCGAGTACTAGTCGTTTCATAAAGTGCGTAGACTTTTTGTCGCAAATTTTCCGCACCGTGTATTTCACTTTTTTACTGTGCAATTCAAAATTATTTGCCGCTTCTCAGGCCTTTTTTTCGGCAACAATTGCACAGTGCAAGAAGAAAAAATGCACTACGCGCCACAAAAAAGTCTATCATGAGGATTTTTTCTTTTTTGAAGCCCAAAAGTTACATTCGCCCCCAAAATAGCTATAAAATATTGAATTGAAGTGCATGCCGTTTATAAAAAACATTTGGTATTTGTCGAGGAATTCAATTTTTTCGAAAAAAGATCTTTTTTGGACTTTCGAAGGCGCAATGATGGCCTGAGGGCATCATTTGGTGCAACAGCCGGCCAGATGGAACGTCTTGATTAGATGGCGCATATTATTTTTCGTAGTGGCGAAGAAATATCGCCCAAATACATATTTAGTCATCATTTCCCTTCGTATCATTTTTTTTTGCATATGATTATGTCATCGTATCCGAACGACAGAGTAGCACATTCATCACGCAACTTTGTCCAGTAAAATTGACATTTTTGGCCATTTTTTATGACTGACTGGCGTCACATTTAACTTTATGTGGTGTTCGTCCCGGAGAAGATGGCTAATGCGCAACATTTCGAGTGATGGGACCATAAATCATGCTGTGCACAGGGTTGGAGGCATTGAAATGTAGCTAGGATTCCAACAAAACCTGATTTTTTTGTAAATTAGCGATTTTGCTTATCGATCTGTCGGGAAAATAATGTAGATTTGTCGCGTCTTGGAATCGCCCATCATCGCCTTGCGATGGCTAGCCGCGACCGGAAATTTGGTGTACGACTGCGACGAGGCGAGACATTTTGCTGCGACAAATCCACATTATTTTCCCGACAAACCCACAAAAGGTTTCGAGTGCGATTCAAGTCCGAGTTTCTTTATTGTATTACAGTACAGTGGGGGAGCTGATCCAGTGGAAAAAACGTACCATTTTGCATCCGGGAAGCGTCAAAAATGTGGCAAAATGCTTCCCTCTCCAAGTGAAAAAAACTGCCGATTTCAAAAGCGCGCCCTTCAAAACGAAGTTTTTTCATTTGGAGAGGGAAGCATTTTGCCACATTTTTGACACCTCCCGGATGCAAAATTGTACGTTTTTTGCTGTCCAAATGTGGATTGTTTTTGCGTTGTTACACTCCTTTGACAATGGATTTATTTTTTACGAAAAAGCATTTTTCCTTCTGAAGCAATTCTTTCTTTAGTCCCGCAGCGAAAACAATCCCTATTTTCTAATAACAAAAGAAATAAATTTTCAATTTGACTTGTCGCTGTTTGAAGAGTTGCGACAAGATTTCAGCATTGCACTGTGCTGACATGTCAAGAATTTTTGGGTTACTTATCAGTCTGTCGGGAAAATAATGTGGATTTGTCGCGTCTTGGAACCGCCCATCATCCTATTTGCGACGGCCAAAGGCGACTGGAGATTTGGTGCGCGACAAAACGAGATATTTTGCTCGACAAATCCACATTATTTTCCCGACAGACTGATACAGTGAGGGGCCTGATCCAATGGCAAAAAACGTACCATTTTGCATCCAGGAAGCATAAAAAATGTGGCAAAATTTCAAAATCGCGCCCGCTCTTTTTGTGAGGAAAAATGGCGCGCCCTTCAAAACGAAGTTTTTTTCACTTGGAGAGGGAAGCATTTTGCCACATTTTTGATACTTCCCGGATGCAAAATGGTACGTTTTTTCCCACTGAATCCGGTCCCCCACTGTAGTAAAGCCTTCGGCGCTTTTTGGAACGCGTTTGCAAACATCGCTGCGTCAACTAAAAATAGCGTCCTCAACCTTTCCCGTCTCACGTACACTCGTCAATTCCGGGTGGAAAACAGTTTCTTTGCCGGACAGAGATGTTTATAAATGGTTTATTCAATTTCCCCATAGGATCTTTGTTATAAGTCTGGAAGCAAATTATGAAAGACAGAAGGCAACGAAGCCCCCCTTTCAAGGACTTCTCCGCGCTCCTACCACTTTTTTGCATTATGTTTTATGCGTGCTGACGTGCAAATTGCAGCCAGTGTGGGATATTTGGGAATCTTATAGTGTTAAGTCTGAGACGATGGGAATTATAGGCGTTTTTAGATGCATAATTTGGATTTTCCGTAAGAATAAGTAATTATAGATTGTGTGAGATGATAGGTTAAAATTTTAGTGCTACTCCACATCGATTAAAAATAGAATTCTATAAGATGTGTGAGATTTTTAGCCCGCGCTGATCCCAAAAAAATAGGCATTTTCTGTGGTTTTTGATTGGGAAAGTGCAGGATTTACAGTGGTGGACCTGATCCAGTGGGAAAAAAGTACCATTTTGCATCCAGGAAGTATCAAAAATGCAGCAAAATACCTCCCTCTACAACTGGAAAAAACTCCGATTTCAAAAGCGCGCTCGCTCTTTTTGCGAGGGAAAGAGCGCGCATTTCAAAACAGAGTTTTTTTTAATTGTAGTGGGAGGCATTTTGCCACATTTTTCATACTTCCCGGATGCAAAATTATATGTTTTTTTTCAGGTCCACTGTACCTCCAAAAAATGCACTGCGAAAAGGCAATTTTTTAGCGAGTTTTGCAGCGACACCCTAAAACCGCACTTCACAGATTACCAGGGTTTTTGCCACGTGCAATACGTGACATTGTCTCTGAATTTGAAAGTAGGAGTGCCCGTTTTTTTAAAAAATTTTGCTCAAATTCATTTTTTCTTTATTTTTTAGTCATCATTTTCAGGCATCCAATTTTAATTTTTTCCTCTGGTCTTTGAGAGACCAATGGTATCACAATGCTCATACCCTCTCATTTTTCCCTTTTCTCGCTTCATTTCACGGCATTCTTCTGTCGGGAAAATAATGTGGATTTTTCGCAGTAAAGTCTCTCGCCTCGCCGCAGTCGCTAAGTAAATTTCCAGCCGTCGCATGGCCAACGATAGGCGATTCCAAAGTTCGACAAATCCACATTATTTTCCCGACAGACTGATTCTGCCAACTAAACATCAAGCGTGCTCCTGTCTCTGCATCAAACTCAAATATGACCCGCAGTTGAAGTGATACAAATGAAATTACACTCGTCCTGCGAATCTCCTCCGGATGACCCGTGAAATCCCGGCGCCCCCTTTTTTTTGTTCCTCCTCCCACTGCTGTCATTTAAATTCAACTTTGCGATGCGCTGAGCAATTATTTTTTCCCGCTAGACATCCGAATATGTAATAGAATAGGGAATAGTAATACATGCGGCCTCGTGACCACTGAGGAAGTGTTAATTGTAATAGATTGGCGGTAAATTTGGCTCTACTGTTTTTAGCTAGCTACTAGTCGTTCCGTAAAGTGCGTGGACTTTTCGTAACTTTGCCAAGAACCTTGCTAGGTGGGCCAAAAGTCTACATGTTTTTGCAAAGTGTGAGCAGTCGGCATTGCGACGAGATGTCGCGCGATATCTCGTCGAAACAAAATTAATTTTAGCATGCACTTTGCAGAGATATTCGGCGATATCTGCATGCGACACACCGTGAAAAATTAGGACATCCGGCCATGAGCATAAATAATAATAAAAGTCCTTTTTTTTGTGCTTGCCCTTGAGCGGTATTTTCATCAAAGCATGAGTTTTGGCACATTGCAAACGCCCAGAAATCTGTCGAGTGACTTTGCAGACGAAGTATCAGTCTGTCGGGAAAATAATGTGCATTTGTCGCAGCAAAAGTTTACGCTTCCGCACACCAAGTCTCAGCAGCCGAAGAGCGATGATGGGCGATCCCAAGGTGCGACGAATCCACATTATTTTCCCGACAGACTGATATTTTTCCGTCCGGAAAGTCGCAGGACTGATTTTTGACGTCTGCAAGTCTACTATTCCTATTCTCACTCGCGTAAGAATACTATATTATATAATTGCCGTATTTTCGCCTAGGGGCATACTTTAGTATAAGCTCTCAAATGGCGGCCTCCAAATTTTTTCTTATCTGTCTGTCGGGGAAATAACGAGCACTCTGTCGCATCAAAAATCGCACCGCCGTCGAGAAAATAAATTGTGTCGCGACAAAATCGAATTGCTTTTCACTTCAGCGACACGATCGGAGCGGCGACATTGTGCTCATTACAGGGTCTTACAAAAAACGTGAAGGAAAGTGGAAGGCTATAACTTCCGGCGGAGGCGGCGCAGAGACTTCGTATTTTAAATATGTATTTTTAAAAGACATAAGTTTTTTTCTACGAAATAACACGCTTTTAAAGTGCAAACTGAGGTCGCTACGACCTTCTGAAGTAAAGGCATCTCTACCCCGAAAACCAGGTTTTTTCGGTTGAAAATGATCGTGAAATTTCGGACTTTTTCGGTTGAAAATCACCAGGAAATGTCGGATTTTTTGGGGGGTTTTGATATGGGTGATGTTGAAAAGGAGGAGGAAAGTGCCAACACGTGCAATTTTTTCGACGTTTTCTTAAAGACTATATCAAGAAACCCCCAAAAAATCCGACATTTCCTGGTGATTTTCAACCGACAAAGTCCGAAATTTCTCGATCATTTTCAACCGAAAAAACCTGGTTTTCGGGGTAGAGATGCCTCTACTTCAGAAGGTCGTAGCGACCTCAGTTTGCACTATAAAAGCTTGTTATTTCACAGACAAAAACTTATGTCTTTTAAAAATACATATTTCAAATACGAAGTCTCTGCAACGCCTCCGCCGGAAGTTATAGCCTTCCACTTTCCTTCACGTTTTTTGTAAGACCCTGTATTTTCCCGACAGATCGATTCTAGAAAAGCTCTGGATTATAGAGCTTTCACCAGACCTCGCGCATTATCACCCCCATCAACCATCATGAACACGAACACAGAGATTTCTCATCCTTTTTCGCGGCCGGCGCACAGCCCGGCGGACCACCAAAACCGGCGGGGGTATTAGTCTCTCTCTCTCTCTCTCAGCCGTAACATTGTCCGAGGATCGGCCGCTCCCCGGGGAACGGCCGTTGGCGGATCGCAAGCACGTTCTTCCCGGCGAGAGGTCACAGTGCAAGAAGCGGCGGGAAATCATGGTCCGCCGAAAATATTATATTTATTTGTATGCGTCTGCTATAGTTTCTTATCAGATGTTTCGGCAAGTGCGAACATATGAGTTCCGCTGTCAACGCGCTGCTTTGTGGGGGAATTTGAATGCGGAAGTTCTGGGATTTAAAATTTTGATGACTAAGCGAAAAAATCTTTGCAGCGATAGCCAAAATTAATATTCCGAGGGACTGGAGCTGCTCCAATTTTGAAAAAAGGCCCGCTTGACCAAGTAAGAACTAAAACCAGTCCGTTGGCAAGGCCGCTGCAGTGATTTTTCCTTTTTGAGACAATTTTAGATCAGTTCTTTGAGGTTCACAAGGGCGCTCGAGAAACTTGTTAGCTCTTGTCAACTAAACTGACATGTTTTTAGTGTCTTTACGATACTTTTGGATACCAAATATGAGATTATTCTTATTAAGAAGAGAGACCAGTCCGTTGGCAAAGCCACTGAGTAATTTCTGCGACATGGACTATGCAATTTGCGGCATTTTGTACTGTCGCTTGCATCAGAATTTTTTTGAACAGTGCAGCCGCCAAAATCACTCCAGCGACCTTGCGAAAGGACAAGTCTCTCATCTTGTTTAGTTGGCAAGGTCTAGCATTTTTATAAACGCCCTTCTGAACCTCAAAGAACGTATCTAAAGTTGTCTCAGAAAGCATAATTTTTCGCAAAAATTCTTCATAGTCGTGAGGATACTCTTTGATACCAAATTTTAGCTCTCATTGATCTTTTTCCGCAGTTTTTTCGGCCTAGACAAGTTCGGGCCCGCTAACTTTAATCGCATTTATTTTTATGTATACCTGATATCATATAATACCCTGTTATGTGCAGATTTCATAGCCGTATTTTTATTTCATAGTCTTCATAGCCGTTTATCTCAAATTTCCTCATTTTTTCTCCAAAAATTCATATTATAAAAAAAAAAAAATTTTTTTTCGTCTGCAAAATTTTTGCATATTTTTATTCTCCAAAACCATGAGCGATCCGCGCGCCCCGGCTATGACTCAAAAGTTATGTACAGAAAAAGAATAACGGAAGGGCCGGGCCGGTCCCAGTGGGACCGGGCCGCACGAACAGAAAACAAAAAAAGCACATCGAAGGCGAACTTTTTTGGGGTTTAGCGGCGGAAATTTTTGCCCGCTTTTCCTTCGGTCGTATGATGTGATATGCGCGCGTGGTAGTTGGGTTCGGATTGATGGAGATATTGAGGCTGTAACATGCCGAATAATGCGATTTTAATGCACATCAACGCCGAATTTTAGGGGGTGGACTGGGAAAAGGGCTTGTTTTTTGTGGGACAAAAATTTATGCTATTGCGCGTGATATGGCTACTTCAGATGTGGCTATATAACTTCAAATTACTGTCTTTTATCATATAAGGCCCAGACGTCCCATGTTCGGACCTAAGGGCCAAAATTTCGATTTATTTCCAATCGCGTCATCTATTGCCTAGTACAATATAATTTTTAGTGTCCTATAGTCTCGCTAGCCCTGTGATCTCTTTCCAACCACTATTACTGCATAAGACAGAGCTCAGCGCCTTCGCTAAGCTATTTTTCCCTTCCATCTCTCCCTTCACCAAGCCAGAATTCCTCATCAAGCTCTCCTCTCCACTAAATCATCGCTAAAGCAACATGGTGACCTAAGGAGCGCGAATGAATAGCCCATCGTATTCTACGCAAAGAGTGTAGAGACTTCCCTTTACGATGCTGCACCTACCAGCATCGTACAACGCTCAGAGGCGTTCGCTGATCGCGCAGGACCAGGCGCACTACTCGCTGCCGAGAAGTCGAGTCGGATCGTTTATCGACGACATCTCCGAGATCAGGTCAATACTGTAGAGGGCAAAATAAGGGTTGTACAATATGGCAACGCCAGTTATAGCCTTATAGGTGCAAAATGACGTCCAGACTGGTCAAAAATCAAATTATTTCATAGTCCAAAAAATTCCGAATTTTTCGTAAAACTCGATTTTTTCAGTGCCGAACGCCTAAATGTCTACGTGGATCGACACGATCAGAACACCCATGGCATCGACAACACAGATGACGATGTGCCGCCGGGGGTCACGTTCCCGGAGGAGCCGAAAACGCCGAAGGAAAGGCTCAAACTGGTGAGTAATCATCATTTATCAGACTGTCGGGAAAATAATGAGCACAATGTCGTTTCGTCGATCGAAGTGAAAAGCAATTTGATTTTTTGTCAAATTGCTTTTCGCTATTCATTTTTTTTTGGCGACAATGCGAGTTTGATGCGACAGAGTGCTCATTATTTTCCCGACAGACTGAGATTTAACGTTCACTATATTTTTTTAAGAAATTCAAAATGATATACCCTCATGTGGGCCTGGTGGTGCTATCAGCCGTCTATACAGTTCTTGGAGCAGCGATCTTTCATCATGTAAGTCAACGAATTTGGTGGAAAAAATTAGGGAGCGTATTTTACAGATAAAAACCTCATCTAACGAAGACCTAGACTTGTAGCTAATACATATGCCCATTTTTTAGCTGGAAGGTCCATTCGAGCTGCACATCCGGAACGCCACCGCAACTCGCGTCCAGATCCTCAAGAACCGAGTCATAACTCAATTATGGACCATGGCCAAAGAGATCCCGCATGCAGCGTATATTGACAGCGGGTTGAACACGACCATGCCGTGGCCACCGAATGACGATGGCTTTCAACAATGGGCCGAAGTTGCTAATACGGGGTACGATTTTTACTTGTCAAAATGGATGGGTTAACAAGGAAATCGCTCAAGTGGAGCTCTCGCAGATTTTCTTAAAATTTTGCGTGCGGGCATTGAACTTGTGAGCTACAGTGACGGACCCGATCCAGTATCAAAGAACGTACCATTTTTCATCCGGGAAGCATCAAAAATGTGGCAAAATGCTTCCCTCTCCAAGTGAAAAAAAAACTTCATTTTGAAGGGCGCACCCTTTCCTTCACAAAAAAAGCTTTTGAAATCGGAGTTTTTTTCCTTGGAGAGGGAAGCATTTTGCCACATTTTCGATACTTCCCGGGTGCAAAAGTGCTACATTTTGTGCCACTTTTGTGGATCCGTTTCCCCACTGTATGAATCTCTGGAACTTTTAGCTCCCATTTTTCGACGATAACTGGGGCATTCAACCATTGTTGCGGCTTCAATGAAGTCTTAGGAATTTCAGAAAATTATGATCATAACTTTTTACCCAACCAAATATCTGATCGTGAACTTCGCAAACAAAAAAAATCGGGAAAATGGAAACCTTTTGTCACCTTTTGATCAAAAAATCTCGTTAGTTTCTGGAAAGCGCGCCCTAGAAATCTATCACATGTCTTGGAAAATTCTACTCAAAAATTTATCTTCCCCACAAGAAGAATTTCTCCACGACCTTTTACAACCCCCATTTTCAGTATGAACATGGTGATAAAAGATGTATTTATTGACTATACGAAGAACTACCTCACACCCGAAGATATAATCAATGGAACGGGTCCCAATAAGTGGTCGTTCGGAGCGAGTATTTTCTTCTCCTGGACGGCCATTACGACTATTGGATATGGTCAGTTTTCGTTCGAATTTTGAACCATATACATTCATGTCGTATTTTACACAAGATTAAAATTTAGGTCACATTGTGCCTCGAACGTTAGCGGGTCGTATTTCTTGTTTATTGTATGCGCTTTTCGGGATTCCACTGATTTTGGTGACAATTGCGGATATTGGCCGATTTTTGTCCAGTAAGTGACCGATAACTTGTCAATTTCTACTCCTTACTAAACCGCATATGCTAATTCCCCTCCCAAAATTTTCAGCCGGCATCATCTGGGTGCACAATGCCCTGCGGCGGTTTCGAATAGGCTGTTTTGTGCGCCTAAAACGATGTTTTCGCTATTGCTGCTGTTGTGTGCGAGGGAAGCGAAAGAAGACGAAAGACAAGACCACAAAGAATGTGGACAAGACCCTGAGCAATGGCGGAACAGTGAGGAACGAGAATCATGTTGGAGGAGGGAGACTGATGCGGCAACGGCTACAACAGGCGGATAACGTCTCCGATGCCGGCACCTTTGAGGGTCAGTTTCTGGGGGCGCAGGATATCTTTTGGGTTTGTCTAGCAGCAAAATATACAGTGGGGGACCTGATCCAGTGGCAAAAAAAGGACCATTTTGCATCCTGGAAGTATCAAAAATGTGACAAAATGCTTCCCTCTCCAAGTGAAAAAAAACTCCAATTTCAAAAAGGGAAAGGGCTCGCCCCTCAAAACGATGTTTTTTCACTTGTAGAGGGAAGCATTTTGCCACATTTTTGATACTTCCCGGATGCAAAATGGTATGTTTTTTGCCATTGGATCAGGTCCGTCACCGTATGTGGGATTCCAAAGTCACGCTTTTCAAATATCACTAGAATTTTTAGGTCAGAAGTTGCCAAAATTAAGCTCTTTTCCTTGTCAGAAGGACATTTTCTTCGTGAAACTCAAAGTTTAGAGCTGTCGCCGTGAAAACTCGATGCATGAGCAACTCATGCCTCATTTTTTCAACCTACACTTTTATCAGGCTGTCGGGAAAATAATGAGCACTCTGTCGCATCGAAAATCGCATCGCCGCTAAGAATTGTGGCCGGCAATATCACATTGCCTTTCACTTCACCGACGCCAATTGTGGCCGCGATGTTGCGCTCATTATTTTCCCGACAGACTTCAATCAAACCCCTCTAATCTTGCAATAATTTCAGACGTCTCCGAGATCCCCACTCAAGAAGGGACGAGTAGTGAGGACACTCACGCGCGCGCCGACGAGATCGACGAATTCGCGGAGCTGCAGCAGGAGCGCAGGGTCTCCGTCCTCTTCATTTTATTCATCATGCTCGGCTACACTGCTGGCGGTGCTTGTCTGATGCAATTGTGGGAGCAATGGAGTTTCGTGGACGCGTTTTATTTTTGCGCGGTCACGGTGACCACCATTGGTTTCGGGGATATTGTGCCGCAGAACAGCGACTTTCTGCCGGCAACCTTAACTTATATTGTCATTGGATTGATTATTACGACAATGTGCATTGGTAAGTGCCATTTTTAAGAGTTTTACGAGCCAAAAATCACCTACGACTACTGCAATTTTCATTTATTTTCTTTTCAGATTTAGTAGGCACCGAATACATTCGGGATATCCACTTTTATGGCCGAAGTTTGGGTCGATCTTTCCTCACCATCGGTGGGAAAGTTGTTCATTTGGGAGAGGTCTTTAGTTATGTGGCATTCTTACAAAAGAACTACGGATTAACGCCAGAACAATTGGACAAATTGGCTCAACTACCAGATGAATATCTTCTGGATTGCATGATCAACGGGAAACAACCGGATTTGAATTGGGTTGGAGGGAAACCTTTTATCCCACCGGACATTTACTACTTCAAGGTGGGTTTCTTTCAGCAAATTTATGGGGAATTTTGACAAAAATCATTTCCAATTTTGATGAAACCTCGTTTAAAAAACGAATAGAATTTTTAAATTTTGTTCGTTTTTTAAACGAGTTAAGACATATGCGAGATCCTGAGATCGTGCGTTGCAGAAACACTCGAGATTTTTGGGTAAAAAATATACAGTGGGGTACCTGATCCAGTGGCAAAAAACGTACCATCTTTCATCCGGGGAATACCAAAAAATGTAGCAAAATACTTCCCTATCCAAGTGAAAAAACGTCGATTTCAAAAGCGCTCCCGCTCTTTCTGTGAGGGAAAGGCACGCCCTTCAAAACGAAGTTTTTTTCACCTGGAGTGGGAGGTATTTTGCTATATTTTTGATACTTCCCGGGTGCAAAATGGTACGTTTTTTGCCACTGGATCAGGTCCGCCACTGTATCCTTTTTACCCAAAAATCTCGAGGGTTTCTGCAAAGCACGATCTCAGGATCCCGCATATGTCTTAACTCGTTTAAAAAATGAACAAATTTAAAAATTATATTCGTGTTTTCAACGAGGTTTCATCAAAATTTGAGTTGGGATTTTATTTTTTGGAGCCAAAAAAACCTCAGTGAGAGACATGGAGCAAATTTTTTCCAATCGAAAACTATTTTTCTCTGCCCGTCTCTCCTTTTAGGCACGCTTTCTCGCCAAGGCCCCAACCGTTCGACCGTATGACGCCCAAATTTTTCAGCAAATTCCATAAAATTTTTCCGACTTCTTCGTATCCCCAGATCTCGCTAACCCAAAAAATTTTTAGTGGATCGAGCACCCTCGCACCCTCTCTTACGCTTCGGAGCGGGTGCTCGCTTCCATGGAGTCGCTGGACCTCAACACAAGCCGTTGTTCGACAGCTCGGACCCTCACGCCGCGCGAATATTATCAACGGATCCTGATGCATTACTGCAAGCAGATGCAGCAGGCGCAGCCGCCGCCGGGAGTGCAGCAGATGCTGCAGCATCAGAATACGGCGCCCGGCTCGGGACGGCTGCATCAGCAGAACAATCTGAACAATTCACTGCCCACGGAGACGCTGTTGTATGGGAACCATCGGCCCTCCACGTCCGAGCGCACAACAGCCATTTTTGCGTTGCCTTCGTAACAAAAAATTTTGATATTGTTTTGCGGAAAACTTCCGTTTTCCGGGGGTCAATGCGCTATCCGAAAGTTTGCTGAAAGTTGGCTGAAAATGTTAGGGCGCAGTTCGGAAACTTTCTCAGCTCGTCGGAGCTATGTTGCAGCCTATTTCCGAGCTGCGCCCTAGCATTTTCAGCCAACTTTCAGCGAACTTTCAAAAAAACGCATCAGCCTAGGCAACTCTCGAGTAAAATTTCCATTTTCTGGCAACCTCAAAAAAGATTTTTCCAAGCTGCGCCCGAGCCGTGACTTGGCAGTCGTTTTTAGCTAGACTTTGAGTTTTTATCAAGCATTTTTTCAGTCGAAAACATTTACAAAAACGTTCAATTAACTTTTCAAATTCCACCTGTAACCTCTTTTGTGAAGGTTTAGGTTGAAACCACTTTTAAAAAATTCAAAAATTGGTTTCAACCTAAAGCTTCACAAAAAAGGTTACAAATGAAATTTGAAAAATGAATTGAACATTTTTAAAATGTTTTCGACTGAAAAAAAGGCCTGATAAAAACTCAAAGCCAAGCTAAAAACGATTGCCAAGTCAATGCTCGGGCGCAGACTGGAAAAAAATTTTTTTTTGAGATTGCCAGAAAATGGAAGTTTTAAATCCTTGTTTGGTCTTATATTGCTTTATAAGCCTTATTTCGAATGCTGTCCAACATTACGGGTGAATTTTTCGGTTATAATTATATTATATTCTCCTTGGTCCGGTCTCAAAAATACTGTGTTTTATTTCCAAAAATCTCGAAAATAATTTTCAACGAGTCTTTGCAAATTTAAAAACTCTTCAATTCCAAGATTTTTCTCTCGTATTTTGCACAAAAAATCTTTCATTTACGATCTTTCCGCCATTACATTGCAATTCAGGGGTTTTTGAATAAACTTTGAAATTTTTTTGAAACTTTGATTACGATTTATAACAATTCAACAATAACAAGTTGAAAATCAACAAGTAACAGGGCTGTGATGCCAAAAAACGAGTCATAAAATTACTAAAATTAACAATGGTACCTGTTACACCTGTTTTGGGTCGTATCCTTTGATCGTGGATATGAAATAACCGCCAACCACGAGCTGCTGCATTAATGGATGTGTTCTTTTGGGTAGGACTTGGATTTCTCGGACTTTTGTTGAGCGAATTTCGGTGTTGACGCAATTTCGGGCGTCCAGATAGGTTTTGGCTTTGACCATCTCCTAAAATTTGATGGATAATATATTGTACTAGGCGAAAGTGGTCCAAATTTCTCTCTCAAAATCCTCTAAATGACTTGAAAACACAATAAAAATGTTACGAACCTCTTCATACGGAGAATACGCCAGCACCGTTCCGCTTGTTCGAACTGCTCTAAATGCCAATTCGAAGACCGACACGATCGAAATATTCTTCGAAATCACCAAAAGAGAGTCGTATTGGCCAAATCCAGCAATTTCACCGTCAAACCAACGAACCGCCTCCTCCTGACGAGCTTTTTTCTCCTCGGCGCGGGCGATTGCCTCTTCCTAAACAAGGATAATATAAAAAAGAGGCCGTACCTGTCGTTGTCTGGCAGCTTCATCAAGAACCTTCTCAGGCTTTTCTTCTGTGACCTCTGCTTCCCCATTTTCCGCATTTTCGGTTTCCATTGTATCCTCAGGATCAGGTTTCAGAAGAGATTTTAGAGGTAGGGTCATCAGAGTTTCTTTGATCTGTAAATAGACAATAATCAGAGCAAAGGCAACTTCTGACTGCCTAAAAAGTAAGAACACAGATTCCGCAAAATATTCCAACCAAAATAAGCCTCAAATTCAGCCTTTTTGGCAAAGAATTTATATTATCCATGGCTTTACACCTAAAATTTTCAAAAAACCTAATTTTTAAACCTTACCTGTTTAGGAAACTGCCGATTATGAAAACATGTGATCCCCGATGCCGACACTCCATTATGAATCACCACACAGCTTCCTTCTCCGCCTAGCCGTTCCACTATATACGTCGTCATTACACCAAAGCATTGATCAAAAATCAAAACCTTACTGCCCGCCTTGATCCCCGAATTGTGAAGAATCTGAGCAGCAGTGTCTGGTCTGCAAATATGCACGTTATTATCCGAATACTTTAGATTTTAACTGCTCTATTACCTAAAATTCGAAGAAACCGAAGTAAAATAACTTACCTGAAGAATCCAACAGTTTCTGGGTTCCGGAAGTAGTAAAACTCGGCTAAGAGCCTAGTATTCACTTTTTCGACAATAATTGCGCATTGCGCTTTATTTGCCTTCTTCAGCTGGACCTTATCCTTCACCAAACTGACTTGATTTTTCTCTCCCGCCTCGTTCTCTCCTCTGGACAGCTCTCGTATTTTACTGAGCTCTGAAATAGGTACAATAAGCCACGTTCTTCCTTGCCAGTAGTTCTATAAACCCATCACACTATCAAACAACAAATTTTCGATCAAAATTCGCCGGCCTCGCACCTAAACACCAAGTACAATGTAGAAAACCTCCTACCTTTCGCCACATCTGTTGGCTCCGGTCCAAGTAGTCCATTTTGAGCGGTATACACTCCAAACTTCTTCCCGAGCACCGGGTCTGCTTTGAAAGTCAAGTTATCAACGGTGATCGTGGCTCCTTTTCTAAGACGGGCAAGAGTTGGTTTAACTCCGGTCAATTTTCGCATTAAAACATAATCACCGGATTGCAATGTGTCCCGTTCACGTTCAGAGGTCTCTGCAGACATCTTGAAAGCTTTTAGCAGCTTTGGAGATCCGAAATTGACGAGAAAAAATATTTTTTTTCTTGAAGAAATTTGGGTGAAACAGAATGCCAAAAATTTTGGGCGAATGCCAATCTCGCGGAAATGACGGTTTTTAAAATTTTCTTGGATTGTACAGGGTGGGCCACTCGAAACTGACAAGTTGTTTCTTTGAATTTCTCCGCGGAGACTCCGCCGATCTTCCCAAAATTTTTAGTTTTCTGGAGCTGAGACCCGCCATTTTTAACTGATTGAATTTCAAAAAAATATATTTTGAGTTGACCTTTCTATGCCTTCCCAAAGTTTTGAAAAGCCCTGAGAATTTCCCACAAATGAGCAAAATTCGTGTTTTTTATTCAAATTTCCCACTAAAGGAAGGGTTTAAAAGTCGACACGAAACTGGGCCCCGTCCATTCGAAGGTCATTCGAGATGACCGGCCGGCTCTTTCTGTGGGCAGTTCTCCTGCAAAACGTTGCCGTCCAGGCCCTTCATCATCACGATGCGGTGCGAGCGAAGCTGGATATCATAAAAAGAAGTATGGACACAAGAGCTGATCCTTGCAACGATTTCTACACTTATGCTGCCGGAAAGTTCACATATGTTGATTATGATCGTGACAGAACGAGACATCTAATGGAATCAAACATTGGAGATGAGGTACTAATTATTATGACGAAACGCTTTTTGATCTTGATTTAGTTTTTTTTTTAGTCTTTACGCTCATTTTTTTCAATTTCAGATGCGAAACGTGAAGGGAGTTAAGAAGTTGTTCGCAGACTGCGTGAAGAATCCCGCCGTGATGGACGAACCGGGACGTACAAATATATACAATTCGATTGTGATGTCTTTCAAAACGAGAGGTTTAATTTTCCCATTGAAGAACGAAGTTGTCGCCAATGACGACGTCCTTTTTACCGACCTGGTCTTGGAAATGTACACCCATCTGTTTGAAACGGGAGCCCCGATTTTTAATAAATGGGGTCGCGGTGCTTCAATGGGGAAGTTATCTTTGGAGATTCCACCAAAGGTCGACCAAGAAAAAGCTTGGTAAGTTATTTGTGCATCATACGAACATATCAGTTCGTCGGGAAAATAGTGTGGATTAATCGAGCCTTGAAAGCGCCCATCATCGCTTTTATTGCCAGATTGGGACGACGAGGCGAGAGTTTCACTGCGATAAATCCACATTATTTTCCCGAAAGACTGGTATATGTTGGTGGCGAGTGATTAATACTGTGGACCGGGGTTGATTGAATACATGATAATCTTCAGGCAGAACTATTGCCGTGTCGTTGGAGGATGTGCAAATCGGGTCCCCTACGATCGGAATTACATGGCGAAAGGCGACGTACGGGCAGATCATTTAAAAGCCCGCTTCCTCCACCAAGCTATGGGTACAAAATTAGACGACACATTCCCGGATATTGCTTTCTATGTTCCACAAGTCTTTGGAAAAGATGTAAGTTTTTAGGTTTCGCCTTGCAGCCCCTCCCCCTTTTTGAACACTCCCCCTCATTTTGAAAATTGAAAAAATGAGGTGTGACATCTTATACGATGAAAAATTTTTCTCAATCTGAAAAAAAGTTCCATCGTATAAGATGTCACACCTTATTCTTTTCAATTTGAAAAAAAATTTCGTCGTGTAAGATGTCACACCTCACGAAGGACGGAAAGGTCCGCTGTGCGGAAAGGTCCGCTGCGCGGAAAGGTCCGCTAAAAAAAAGAAAAGAGGAGGGCGGGGAGGGGGAGGTTTTCGAAGGCGCTGATTTCGAATATCGTATCCATTTTTTCTGAGTTTTACAATTTTGCTTAGGCAGTAGTGTTAACTAGTAATTTTAAAAAAAAAATTTTTGAGTAAGATTTAGACGTAAGTTATATTGTACTTGATGTTTTGATTTTTAGGTGTGACTAGTCTCAAAAAAATTTTTTTTTGAAATGTTTTCGCTTCGAGACTTGAAAAAAAGGATTTTTTGTGAAATTTAAATAAAATTTGAAATTTTTTCGCTTCGGGACTGGGAAAAAAAAAAGAATTGTTTGGAAAATTCAACAAAATTTTGAAATCTTTTCGCATCGGGAGTAGAAAAAAGGGTGTCTGACTGAATATTAACTGTGGTGCCGCCAGCACTAAAATTTTGTCTAAAACCAATGGTACCACCTGGTACTATATAGTACCACGTGTTTTTGGGTTCTACTAAGCACCAAACCAACGCCATTACCGCCTTACGGCCAAATTTGCACCTCGTACTAAATAGTACCAGGTAGTAATATTTAGTACCAAGTGTTAAAAATGTGTTTTTAAGCAGTACTAGGCACCAAAACAACACCATTAACGTCTAAAAGTGTTATAAGTCGAAAAAATTTCAAAAAGAATCCCTAAAGGTAGTAAAGTAACAGAAACCCAGTTTTCATATTCAGTCATTTCATACTCAGTCAGCTCGAAAAAATTTCAAATTTTATTCAGATTTCACAAAAAATCCTTTTTTCCAAGTCCCGAAGCGAAAACATTTCAAATTTTATTCAAATTTCACAAAAAATCCTTTTGTTTCATGTCCCGAAGCGAAAACATTTCAAATTTTATTCAATTTTCACCAAAAAATCCTTTTTTCCCACCCTCTTCTTTTCCTTTTTTTAGCGGACCTTTCCGCAGCGGACCTTTCCGCACAGCGGACCTTTTGGTTTAGCGGACCTTTCCGTACTCAATCGTCACACCTCGTTTTTTCAATGTTCAAAATGTGTTCAAAAAAGGGGGAGAGTTCAGCCTTTTTTGGGGTAGAGTTGAAAAAGGGGTAGAGTTCAGATTGGGGGAAAGTTCAGAAAAAGGGGGAGAGTTCAGGCTCAACCGACTTTTTTCAGCCCAGCCAGTCTGCTCATCGTGCCAACTTTCTGAATCATCTAATGGAGTATTTAACCGATCAAACTCTCCAAACGCCAAAGTTTCGCCACTGTGAAGAATACATTCAAAAGGCGTTTCCCTTTCAAGTTTCCAAAATTGCCTACGAAGCGGAGATGCAAGACAAGGAGCGATTTGATCAGCTGAAGGCAAAATTCGTCGAGGAAGGAAGAACGATTAAGAAAACGGCCGAACGTATGCTGCAAAACGCAAACTTCAAGCAGAATCGGACCCGACAGATTTTTCTGGACATATTGGCGAAGAATGAGTTCAACTTTTTGGATCAGCCAATTCTGACGGGAGATGAGCTGAATGCAGCGGATGTGCGGCTTTGGGATGCGCCGTTTTTGAGGAGATTTAAGAATGGAATAGCCCATATCTTCAAGCTCAACGCGGTGATAAAGCTGAAGAATTTTGTCCTCCCAGTGTACAGGGTAGGTCTATTCAAGTAACACGTCAATCCAGCGCATTTCCTGAGCCGTTTCGAAACTTCGTATTGTTCCAGTATTCCAACAGAATACCTTTTTCGGTTACGTCCGAGCCTTGAATTGGCACTCTTTTTTAGCTAGCCCTCGCACGTCAAACTGAGATAAGCTAAAACAGTCCGGTGAATGGATGGAATCCTTCGATTGCGACCCCGCTTGATTGCGACCTCGCATCGATTGCGACCCCGCATCGATTGCGACCCAAAATGGGGTAAAGCGACCCCGGGATGAAAATTCCTTGATTCTCTTCGGGAAAAACTTGCTTTAGGGGTTTTCGAGGGTGCTGATTTCGAAAATCATGTTCATTTTTCCTCTAGTACTACATAGTACTGTCTGATACTATATAGTACGAAGTCAAAATAGGCGTACTAAGCACCAGAACAACACCACGAACGCCTAAAGGCCAACTTTAACCTCGTACTACATAGTATCAGATAGTACTATATAGCACCAAGTCTTTAAAACGTGTTTTTGAAGAGTACTAAGCATCAAACCAACACCATTAACGTCAAAAGCGATATTTTCACTTCGTACTATATAGTATCAGACAGTACTATGTAATACTAGAGGAAAAATGAACATCATTTTCGAAATCAGCACCCTCGAAAACCCCTAAATCGAGTATTTAACGTCAAAAGCGATATTTTCACTTCGTACTATATAGTATCAGACAGTACTACGTAATACTAGAGGAAAAATGAACATCATTTTCGAAATCAGCACCCTCGAAAACCCCTAAATCGAGTATTTAACGTCAAAAGCGATATTTTCACTTCGTACTATATAGTATCAGACAGCACTATGTAGTACTAGAGGAAAAATGAACATCATTTTCGAAATCAGCACCCTCGAAAACCCCTAAAGCAAGTTTTTCCCGAAGAGAATCAAAGAATTTTCATCCCGGGGTCGCTTTACCCCATTTTGGGTCGCAATCGATGCGGGGTCGCAATCGATGCTGGGTCGCAATCGATGCGGGGTCGCAACCGATGGAATTCGAATGGATTGGTAATTTGCCAAAAAAAGACGCGAAAAAACGTTTTGTCGCGGAAGAAATGGGGAATTTTTGGGGCGAGAGAGTACGTTTTTGCGTGTCTTTTTTCTCTCTTTCTCTGCGAAATAGACGAAATGTAAAAAACCGATAGCGAAGAGTCTCTTCCGGTCACCGGAATCCTCAGTTTGACGTGCCAGTTCAAAACCGTTTTTTCTAACTATTAATATGGGATAGGAAAAACAGTATGGCTTTCTATTTTTTCAGGAATAAAATTTTGATATTTTATTTTCAGTCTTTTATATTTACGAACGACCATCAAATTTACTTTTCCTTTGGCGCTGTTGAATTTCCAGGCTACGATGTTGACTTTCCCGCGTCTCTCGATTTCTCCGGAACAGGGTTTTTGATGGCCAAGACATTAAGCGAGGAGAACTTTGGCAAGTGATGAAATTTACCCTAAAAATAATTTCCCTTTTTTTAGGATTTCAATTTCTGGAAAGTGACAAGGACCCGGACAAGGAGCATCGTGCTCGGTGGGACTGTATTACAAAGCTCTACCGTGAACAATGTGATCCACAAGGAGTGGACTGGTGTGTCCATACGCAAGTGGCGATCCATGTTGGTGAGTACTAGCCGCATTACGGCAGGACTAGATAAAAATTCCTGGGGGCCTGTTTTCCCTGGAAGTTAACCGAAGCAGCTGGGGCGCGAAAACAAGTCGTGAAAGTTTGCATAATTGAGCTGCCGATGATTTTTCTTTTTGAACCGTTCTTGAGCAACTTTACGTTTTTCTATTTTCATTCTGCAGCGGCGGAAAAAAGAGAAATTTTTGCTTCGACCACACGCCTCCAAACAAGCGTCCACACGTTTTAGACTTACATTAATGTCATTTTAGGTATTCGTCTGGCCTATTCTTCCTACTTCGCCCTTGGAAATATGTCGGAGCCCCGATTAATTCCACAGTTCTCTAACAAACAACTTTTTTTGATCAACTTAGCCCAGACAGTGCATCTTTGGTCAATGTATCGTCGTCTGCCAGCTCCACTCCGTGTTTGGGGAAGCATTGCCAATTTTAAAGGATTTGCCGAGGCTTTTGGGTGCCCTGTTGGTTCGAAATACAACCTTCCAGCGGACAAAAGATGCAATATCTTTGACTTTGACGTCGATAGCCCAAGTTTCACGACGACCACGACCACCACCACAACTACAACGACCACTACAACAACTACTACAACGACTGCACCAACTACCACTGCTGTAACTGACGCAACTCCTCATGCCAGTACAAACACCCCACCGGCACCTGAACGAACTACTCCCTCTGAGCCAAGAACTACTCCCTCTCCGCCAAGAACTACTCCCTCTCCGCCTTCGCCGGACCCAGGCGGTAACCACACCGAATATGGAGAAGCTGCCTCCAAAAAATCGATTCTATTGTCTCCGCCGTATTTCTCATATCTCCTTTTGGGATTTGCCCATGTTATGATCCAATAAACGTAAATTTAGGCTTACAAGGGAAGTCACTTAAGTCACGGATCGATTTTTTAAAACGACTGTTACAGCGATGGGGAGGGTAGGGCGGAGATATCAAATCTGAAAACCGCTACCTCCACCGGCCTCTGGGAGCCGAGATAATCGACCAAAAAGGTTTGGCCAAAAAAAGTTGCTCCGAATACTCCGCTGTTCCGAAAGGGAGAGGAAAGAGAACCGAATGGTCCGGTGGTCTGGAAGCGCGCTTTCAGGCCTTGACCTTTTCAGGTTCGAATCCGCATGGGTCAAATAATTTATTAAACTTTTCCTGTAATCCAGTAAATTTACCGGTAAGATAAAATTTTTGATTTTTTGCATATCTTACTCTAAAATTTCGGAGTAATAATTTGAATGCGAGTTCTAAACGATTTGGATTTTCAAGGTTGAATATTTACCGTAAAATAGGCATAAAATATAAAAATAAATTGCGTTCATTTGCTGGATCACAGCAACTGCCTTATAGATTTTTCACAAGTTTGAGACCCGCGCGGATTCGAACCTGAAAAGGTGAAGGCCCGGAAGCGCGCTTCCAGACCACCGGACCATTCGGTTCGTTGCCTTTTCTTCTTTCGGAAGGAAGAAATGTTCGGAGTAATTTGGTCAAACTTTTTGGTCGATTATCTCGGCTCCCAGAGGCCGGTGGAGGTAGCGGTTTTCAGATTTGATATCTCCGCCCTACCCTCCCCATCTCTGTAACAGTCGTTTTACAAAATCGATCCGTGATTTAAATGACTTCCCTTGTTAGTCTACTCGGTTAAGGAAAAAAGTAATTGTAAAAAGTTCAAATTCAACGAGATTGTAGTATACACTTGAAGAGCCAGTAGTATCTGTTAAAACACGATTTCTGAGTCAGTGAATCAGCCGCCAGTTAGGCCTGGACATAGGAAAAAATCGATTTTGAGTTTTTGATTTTAAAATGACCGCAGGCATCCAGTAAACATATTACTGAAATATTTTTGCCTAATTCTCTCATTAACCTACTGTAATTTACAATTTAATGTTTTTGCAGTAATCGACTATTACAGCATAACTACTCACTAGAAATGGCTGAAATTAAGAATACTGATGTTTTCGGATATGCTCGTCATTGTGAATCCAGAATTTCGGCGGTCGGGTTACTGTAACATACCGCAATGTGGTTTCGGTCGAACAAAATCGTCCATAAAAAACTTGTTTCTGAAATGCCGCAGCTGATTTTTACATATGTTAATCAGCGTAAAATTCTGCCCTAGAAACATTAAAAAAAAGTGTAAAAAGTCATCACCCCTTTTTCGTGGTGTAGTGGATTTTGGTCAAATTTAGTAATCCGAAGGTCGCGGGTTCGATCCCCGTGGAAGGAAAATGCGTTAAACTGTACAAAACCTCAAAAAATTGGTTGAGGTGGATTGATTATGTATATCAGAAGTATGAAAAATTGTATCAAAGTTGATTTCCGAACTTGAAAGCATTTTTTTGATGATGAAACTTGGATTTTGGTTTCCGTGGATTATGGTGCAAATTTAGTTTAGGAAATGGCGCCAGTTGTTTATAGTTAGGTTTTTTAGCCTTCTGAATTCAAAGGAGCAGGGTTTTTGGCCATAGGATTACTGTAACATAGACAAAACGGATTTCGGCCGCTTAAAATCGGCCGTAAAACGGTTGTTTCTAAACATACGCAGCTAATTCTTCAATTTTTGGAATCAGCGTGAAATTTCACACAATTTGCACCTAAACAATGGCTTATTGGTTGAATACTTTTTTTTCAGTGGTGACTTACTTTAAACCACGAAAAAGGGGTGATGACTTTTTACACTTTTTTTTAATGTTTCTAGGGCAGAATTTTACGCTGATTAACATATGTAAAAATCAGCTGCGGCATTTCAGAAACAAGTTTTTTATGGACGATTTTGTTCGACCGAAACCACATTGCGGTATGTTACAGTAACCCGACCGCCGAAATTCTGGATTCACAATGACGAGCATACCCGAAAACATCAGTATTCTTAATTTCAGCCATTTCTATTGAGTAGTTATGCTGTAATAGTCGATTACTGTAAAAACATTAAATTGTAAATTACAGTAGGTTAATGAGAGAATTAGGCAAAAATATTTCAGGAATATGTTTACTGGATGCCTGCGGTCATTTTAAAATCAAAAACTCAAAATCGATTTTTTTCTATGTCCACGGCTGATTCAGTGACTCAGAAATCGTGTTTTAAGTGCCATGGTCAATTGCATGTTATTATATTTACTTTCTGAAATCTTATTATATTTACTTTCTGAACTTGTTTTTGCTTCTTTTTTTTCCTTTTTGGGCTTCTTTCCCTTCTCTTTCTCCATGTTTTTTCCTTTTTTGATGATAATCTTCTGCGCCTTGTGTGTCCTTGATAAACTTCATGCAAGTTTTTTGAACTAATGATTTTATCACAAGCTCCGCCCACTCTCTTTCCTCTCCACATTCTCTCACCGTCTGACTCTCTCCTCTCCACATTCTCTCGCCTCTCTCGCTGTCTAGCTCTCCTCCTTTCCCCTACTCTCTCAGTGCCGGTTCCGCTGGCTCATTTTTGTACCCCATAACTACTGCTTCATGACGAGTCACGATGGCAATTGTGTTGTTTTCCGTTTTGATGTAGCGATACCTTTAATAAGGCTCCATTTTTCAATCCAGGCGTTTTGGTGACCTTCATAAGTACGGGGAAGTCCTCGCGCATTCCCAAATTTGACTGCTTCATTTTGTGTAAAGAAAAAATATCCTAAAAAAATATTCCCATTGTAAGTTGTTCGATTTTGTCTCTTCGACCCCATGGTCAAAATTTCATCAAAAAACAAGCTCTCCGGCATTCTTTGAAGCTTTTGCAATTGTACACGCTTGCAGAGGAACACTTGTAAAGTTTGATGTCTTTTCCTCACTTCCATGTGGTGACTTGTAAAGACATTTCGAACGCCCCTCCGTCGTTCCAAAACCTAACAGATCATATCGCGACATTACACAACTACAGTCGACAAAAGTTATACCTTTGCGTCTTCCCATTCAAACAACATTCCATTTTTGGAAAACAAAAAATCGACAGAAACCCGTTCGGGTCCGAAAAATAAAAGAAACGGCAAACATCGGCTCTCGAGATGTTCCATCGAGTGACTTTTGCCGTGGTAAGCTCTAATTTTTGAGGTTATGTAATCATTTTTTGGTTTTCCTCGAAAGAGACCCCGGAATCGGCGGCCTCTTTCAATGTTTCCCCGAAATGGCCGAAAAGGCCAAAAATTGGGTAAGATTGGGTAATGGATGGCGTAGATTCCAAAAATCATACTCGTTTTTCCCGATTCTTACTTTTTTGCTTAAGTAGTAATGTTAAAAAGTAATTTTTTGAATTTTTTCTAAAAATAGTCGATTTAGGGGTTATTGAGGGTGCTGATTTCGAACATAAGGAAAAAAGTAACTATAAAAAAAAATTAATGTCATTTTCGAAATCAGCACCCTCGAAACCCCTAAATCGAGTATTTTTAGAAAAAATTACTTTTTAACACTACTGTTTAAGGAAAACTAGTAAAGTTCAGAAAAAATAAACGAAATTCGAGATCAGCACCCTCGAAAACCGCTAAGCCCAGTATTTTTAAAAAAATTTCAAAAAATTACTTTTTAACATTACTACTTAAGGAAAAAAGTAACTATCAAAGAAAATGAATGTCATTTTCGAAATCAGCACCCTCGATACACCCCCTATTTGCCTTCTTTAGCTGGACCTTATCTTTCGCCAAACTGACTTGATTTTTCTCTCCCGCCTCGTTCTCTCCTCTGGACAGCTCTCGTATTTTACTGAGCTCTGAAATAGGTACAATAAGCCACGTTCTTCCTTGCCATTGGTTCTATAAACCCGTCACACTATCAAACAGCGAATTTTCGATCAAAATTCGCCGACTTCCCACCTAAACCCCAAGTACAAGGTAAAAATCCTCCTACCTTTCGCCACATCTGTTGGCTCCAGTCCAAGTAGTCCATTTTGAGCGGTATAAACTCCAAACTTCTTCCCGAGCACTGGGTCTGCTTTGAAAGTCAAGTTATCAACGGTGATCGTGGCTCCTTTTCTGAGACGGGCAAGAGTTGGTTTAACTCCGGTCAATTTTCGCATTAAAACATAATCACCGGGTTGCAATGTGTCCCGTTCACGTTCAGAGGTCTCTGCAGACATCTTGAAAGCTTTTAGCAGCTTTGGAGATCCGAAATTGACGAGAAAAAAATTTTTTTTGCTTGAAGAAATTTGGGTGAAACAGAATGCCAAAAATTTTGGGCGAATGCCAATCTCGCGGAAATGACGGTTTTTAAAATTTTCTTGGATTGTACAGGGTGAGCCACTCGAAACTGACAAGTTGTTTCCTTGAATTTCTCCGCGGAGACTCCGCCGATCTTCCCAAAATTTACATTTTTCTGGAGCTGAGACCCGCCATTTTTAACTGATTTGAATTTCAAAAAAATATATTTTGAATTGACCTATGGCTTCCCAAAGTTTTGAAAAGCCCTGAGAATTTCCCACAAATGAGCAAAATTTGTGTTTTTCATTCAAATTTCCCACTAAGGGAAGGGTTTAAAAGTCGATACTAAGCTGGGCTCCGTCCATTCGAAGGTCATTCGAGATGATCGGCCGGCTCTTTCTGTGGGCAGTTCTCCTGCAAAACGTTGCCGTCCAGGCCCTTCATCATCACGATGCGGTGCGAGCGAAGCTGGATCTCATAAAAAGAAATATGGACACAAGAGCTGATCCTTGCAACGATTTCTACACTTATGCTGCCGGAAGTCTCACATACAATGATTATGATCGTGACGGAACGAAACATCTAATGGAATCAAACATTGGAGATGAGGTACTCATTATTATGACGAAACGCGTTTTGATCTTGATTTACAGGGGAAGTACCCCAAGTTCGACGCTCAGATTTTGATGAAACTAGGCACAAATTTAGAATATTTTTTTCTAAAATATATGCGAGAATCCTAGATCGCGCTTTGCAGAAACAACCGAAATTTTTAGATCGAAAGTCGGCCAAAATTTGACACTTTTTGGCGAATTTCGGGACGAAAAGTTTCATGTCTATTTCTATCATAGAGGGTAATATTTCCACAAAAAATCAATTTTTTCCGCACGAAACTGCCAAAGTTATGGCCAAAAAGGTGTTTTCTCTCTGACCGCTCTCCACGTTTAGCGTGCCCTCTCGGCGGCAAAAATCGTTCGATATCTCGGCGGCACCCGCAAAGCGCGAGCTAAAACTTTCAGGAATTGATATTTAGTCCATACCCGACGTGTGTGCAAAATTTAAAGAAACTCTGAGCGTCGCACTTGAGGTACTTCCCTTGTTAGTTTTTTTTAGTCTTTACGCTCATTTTTTTCAATTTCAGATCCGAAACGTGAAGGAAGTTAAGAAGTTGTTCGCAGACTGCGTGAAGAATCCCGCCGTGATGGACGAACCGGGACGTACAACTATATACAATTGGATTGTGATGTATTTCAAAACGAGAGGCTTAATTTTCCCATTGAAGAACGAAGTTGTCGCCAATGACGACGTCCTTTTTACCAACCTGGTCTTGGAAATGTACACCTATCTGTTCGAAACGGGAGCCCCGATTTTTAATCAATGGGCTTTCGGTGCTTCAATGGGGAAATTATTTTTGGAGATTCCACCAAAGGTCGACCAAGAAAAAGCTTGGTGAGTTATTTGTGCATCATATGAACATATCAGTGCGTCGGGAAAATACTGTGGATTAATCGAGCCTCGAAAGCGCCCATCATCGCTTTTATTGCCAGATTGCGACGACGAGGCGAGAGTTTCACTGCGATAAATCCACATTACTTTCCCGAAAGACTGGTATATGTTGGTGTCGAGTGATTAATACTGTGGACCGGGGTTGATTGAAGACATGAAAATCTTCAGGCAGAACTATTGCCGTGTCGTTGGAGGATGTGCAAATCGGGTCTCCTACGATCGGAATTACAACCCGAAAGGCTACGTACGGGCAGATCATTTAAAAGGCCGCTTCTTCCACCAAACTATGGGTACAAAATTAGACGACACATTCCCGGATATTGCTTTCTATGTTCCGCAAGTTTTTGAAAAAGATGTAAGTTTTTGGGGTTTCGCCTTGTAGCCCCTCCCCCTTTTTGAACACTCCCCCTCATTTTGAAAATTGAAAAAATGAGGTGTGACATCTTATACGATAAAAAATTGTTTCAAATTGAAAAGAATAAGGTGTGACATCTTATACGATGAAATTTTTTTTCGAATTGAAAAAATGAAGTGTGACATCTTATACGATGAAAAATTTTTCTCAGTCTGAAAAAAAGTTCCATCGCATAAGGTGTCACACCTTATTCTTTTCAATTTGAAAAAAAATTTCGGGGCTTCGGTAGTTGAGCCCCCCACGAAAGGTAGTTCAAACCCCCACTGTTTTGCCCGTTTCACACCCCACAAAATGAACAAATTAGAATAATACAAGAAATGTAAGTGGGGATTTGATTTACTACGTTGGGGGTTTGACCTAAAACGTAAGGGGTTTGATCTAAAACGTAGGGGGCTCGTGCTGGACCATACAACTTGGATTAATTCTTTGAAATAAATTTTGGGGTTCAGAATGGACGAGGGGGTTCGTACTGGGTCATGAGGGGCTAAACTGGACTGGGGGGCTGTACTACTAGTCGTTCCAGAAAGTGCGTGCACTTTTTGTCGTGGGCCGCACTGTGCACAAAATTTCCTTTTTGCGGGGTGCATTTGACCTTTTGCACCGTGCAAATCCAATATCGCTGCGACACAAGCTTTTCTCAACGGAGCGGGCGCGAATTTTGGGCGCATGAAATGAAATTGCACAGTGCAAAATGTTTCGAAAAGGATCGCGTCGCGCGGGGAACATGAAAACTTGCACTGTGCGGTGCAAAAAAGGCGGAAAAAAGTGCACGCACTTTCTGGAACGACTAGTACCTTAGCCCCAAAAATGTCACACCTCGTTTTTTCAATGTTCAAAATGGGGGAGTGTTCAAAAAAGGGGGAGAGTTCAGCCTTTTTTGGGGTAGCGTTGAAAAAGGGGTAGAGTTCAGATTGGGGGAAAGTTGAGAAAAGGGGGAGAGTTCAGGCTCAACCAACATTTTTTCAGCCCAGCCAGTCTGCTCATCGTGCCAACTTTCTGAATCATCTAATGGAGTATTTAACCGATCAAACTCTCCAAACGCGAAAGTTTTCCCACTGTGAACAATACATTCGAGAGGCGTTTCCCTTTCAAGTTTCCAAAATTGCCTACGAAGCGGAGATGCAAGACAAGGAGCGATTTGATCAGCTGAAGGCAAAATTCGTCGAGGAAGGAAGAACGATTAAGAAAACGGCCGAACGTATGCTGCAAAACGCAAACTTCAAGCAGAACCGGACCCGACAGATTTACCTGGACAGATTGGCGAAGAATGAGTTCCACTTTTTGGATCAGCCAATTCTGTCAGGAGATGAGCTGAATGCAGTGGATGTGCGGCTTTGGGATGCGCCGTTTTTGAGGAGATTTATGAATGGAATAGCCCATATTTTCAAGCTCAACTCGGTGATAAAGCTGAAGAATTTTGTCCTCCCAGAGTACAGGGTAGGTCTATTCGCAATGGGAAGTAACACGTCAATCCAGCGCATTTCCTGAACCGTTTCCAAACTTCGCATTGTTCCACGGAGTTGGACGATTGGGGAAAAAGACGATTGTGGAAACCGAAAAGTATTACTTTTTTTGATGCAAATGTCAAAGTTAGGATAATTGAGGGGGCTCATTTCGAAAATAACATTCATTTTTTGACTCTTACTTTTTTCTTAAGTAGTACTGTAAAGTAACAATTTTAGATTTTTTTCCATAAATACTCGATTTAGGGGTTTTCGAAGGTGCTGGTCTCGAAAATCATGTTAGCTTTTTCGCTATAAAAATGAACATGATTTTCGAAATCAGCACCTTCGAAAACCCCTAAATCGAGTATTTATGAAAAAAAAGTTCAAAAATTACCACTTTACAGTACTACTTAGTAAGAGTCAAAATATGAATGTTATTTTCGATATGAGCCCCCTCAATTATCCTAGCTTTGAAATTTGCATCAAAAAAAGTAATATTTTTCGGTTTCCCCAATCGTCTTTTTCCCCAATCGTCCCAGTTCTATTGTTCCAGTATTCCAACAGAATACTTTTTTCGGTTACGTCCGAGCCTTGAATTGGCATTCTTTTTTAGCTAGCCCTGGTGCTTCGTCTTCCTTCTGAGACCGTGTTCAAGTCTTCAAAAATACAATCGTAATCCTTTTTGAGCAACATTAGTTCAAAACCGTTTTTTCTAACTATTAAAATGGGATAGGAAAAACAGTATGGCTTTCTATTTTTTTAAGGAATAAAATTTTGATATTTTATTTTCAGTCTACTATATATATGGACAACCATCTAATTTACTTTTTCTTTGGCGCTGTTGACTTTCCAGACTACGATGTTGACTTTCCCGCGTCTCTCGACTTCTCCGGAACAGGGTTTTTGATGGCCAAGGCATTAAGCGAGACCTATGGCAAGTGATGAAATTTACCTTAAAAATAATTTCCCGTTTTTTAGGAACTGAATTTCTGAAAAGTGACAAGGACCCGGACAAGGAGCATCGTGCTCGGTGGGACTGTATTACAAAGCTCTACCGTCAAGAATGTGATGCACAAGAACTGTGTGTCCTTGATCAAGTGGCGGCCCATGTTGGTGAGTACTAGCCGCATTACGGCAGGACTAGATAAAAATTCCTGGGGGCCTGTTTTACCTGGAAGTTAACCGAAGCAGCTGGGGCGCTAAAACAAGTCGTGAAAGTTTGCATAATTCAGCTGCCGATGATTTTTCTTTTTGAACCGTTCTTGAGCAACTTTACGTTTTTCCATTTTCATTCTGCAGCGGCGGAAAAAAGAGAAATTTTTGCTTCGACCACACACCTCAAAACAAGCGTCCACACGTTTTAGACTTACATTAATGTCATTTTAGGTATTCGTCTGGCCTATTCTTCCTACTTCGCCCTTGGAAATATGTCGGAGCCCCGATTAATTCCACAGTTCTCTAACAAACAACTTTTTTTCATCAACTTAGCCCAGACACTGAGGGTTTGGTCAATGTATCGTCGTCTGCCAGATCCAGTCCGTGTTTGGGGAAGCATTGCCAATTTTAAAGGATTTGCCGAGGCTTTTGGGTGCCCTGTTGGTTCGAAATACAACCTTCCAGCGGACAAAAGATGCAATATCTTTGACTTTGACGTCGATAGCCCAAGTTTCACGACGACCACCACGACCACCACCACAACTACAACGACCACTACAACAACTACTACAACGACTGCACCAACTACCACTGCTGTAACTGACGCAACTCCTCATGCCAGTACAAACACCCCACCGGCACCTGAACGAACTACTCCCTCTCCGCCAAGAACTACTCCCTCTCCGCCAAGAACTACTCCCTCTCCGCCTTCGCCGGACCCAGGCGGTAACCACACCGAATATGGAGAAGCTGCCTCCAAAAAATCGATTCTATTGTCTCCGCCGTATTTCTCATATCTCCTTTTGGGATTTGCCCATGTTATGATCCAATAAACGTAAATCTAGGTTTAGTCTACTCGGTTAAGGAAAAAAGTAATTGTAAAAAGTTCAAATTCAACGAGATTGTAGTACACACAATTGAAGAGTCAGTAGTATCTGTTAAGTGCCATGGTCTTCTCTTATTATACTTACTTTCTGAACTTTTTTTTGTTTCTTTTTTTCCTTTTTGGGCTTCTTTCCCTTCTCTTTCTCCATGTTTTTTCCTTTTTTGATGATAACCTTCTGGGCCTTGTGTGTCCTTGATAAACTTCATGCAAGTTTTTTGAACTAATGATTTTATCACAAGCTCCGCCCACTCTCTTTCCTCTCCACACTCTCTCACCGTCTGTCCGGGTCCTTGTCACTTTCCAGAAATTGAATCCTAAAAAACGGGAAATTATTTTTAAGGTAAATTTCATCACTTGCCAAAGTTCTCCTCGCTTAATGTCTTGGCCATCAAAAACCCTGTTCCGGAGAAATCGAGAGACGCGGGAAAGTCAACATCGTAGTCTGGAAAGTCAACAACGCCAAAGAAAAAGTAAATTTGATGGTCGTTCGTATATATGGATGGTTAGTTACAAATTTCATTTTTCATTCCGTTCAGAAGTGTGCAATTCAGTCTACGGAGGCACTTTGGACTAAAATCGGGAAATCCTGTCCGTGGTGCAAACAAAAATCGCCACTTTCGGTTTGCCCTTCAGACAAACGCAAAGCAGTCCGTCGTGTGGACAGGTTTCCGGAAATCTAGTCCACTGATTTTCGATCCATGGACTTCTTGATTTGTTTGCTCGGATTTTTTGGAGTTGTCCGTGGTTTGGAAAATTCCAAACAAATCACAGAGGCACAGATGACCCAGGGCTTCTTTTCAAATTTTTTTTTATTTCGCTATGTTCAAGATGTATTTTCTGATTGAGAACAGCTTGGATTTGCTCAAAAAAGGATTTTTTACCAAGGGTAGGCTTTTCTATTCGATTTCCTATCTAGATTGCCCGTTTTCTTTTGGGATAACCCATCAAATTTTAGAATTTTGTGAAGCTTGTTGCCCATAGATAATGTAATGTTTATTTCTTGTTGATTTGACCAAAACTTTTTAGTGGAAAAATTTCCGTCCCAAAGTTGCTGTTTCGATGCGTCAAATTTTAAAACAATCGCAGAATACCAAAACCCATGGAAGATATAACCGAAGTCTAGGATGTTATAGGCAAGGACGTCCTCTTTTATGGTGTGGCCAAGTATTGGTTCCGGAGGTTCAAAAAAAGAAGTTAGACGACCAAGTTCTGGCGGCCATCTGAGATAGATGATGACGCCCTAAAAGGCTTAATCGTGAGCTATCCCAAATTGCCATTACGTGAACTTGGAGAGCTCTTTGGGTTCTCCCATACTACCATTATGGACCATCTACATCGGTTGGGAAAAGTGTGGAAGTGTGGTTAATTTGTTCCACACGAACTTTCGGAGTCACGGCTTATACTGTTGCTCCTAATTTTTGTCGTACCGCCGCACGCTGACTTGGCTGACCAATATCATTACAGGGAACCAGAAATGGGTGATGTATATAAACCATACCCGCAAGCTTCAGTAGCTTGAACCCGACCATCACGATGAACCAACCCCAAAACCAAAATTCACCTAAAAAAGGTCATGTTCGCCGCCCTACCCACACTACACCCCAGCCTTGGCACCTTCTGATTACCATTTGATCAGATCGCTAAGCTACCGTTTGGGAGATGTGCGGTTCGATTGTTTGGGGGACCTCAAAACAGGTCTTTCTGACATTTTTTATTATAAATACCCCAGTTTTTAAGCTCGCCAATTGAATCCTTGTCGGAACGTTGGCAATACGTCGTGGATACCGACGGTGGATGTTATGTTTGGTTTCCCGTTACAACTGTCAAAATAAATTTGTTTGGAAAAAAACAAGAAAAAGGGGAAAACTTTCGTCCCAACCTAATAAATTTAATTATAGCTAAAGGTAGAGTAGGATGTTAGCTTGGTTTTAATGTCAATTTCGAACCAGAAGGAGCGAGTTTTACAAAAATTTTATATTGTACTAGGTCCTGGCGTCCGGTCCCTCGTGAAAACTGCTATTACGTTAAATTTGCCACTTTTGCATGGTAAAGCAACCCAGTACTCTGACCTACATTTATATCTGATCAGTTTTATAGGTTATTAGCTTCGTTCTAACACCAATTTCCAACCAGACACACCTAAATTTACGAAAATTTTATGTTGTACTTGGTACTCAAGGCTCCTGGTCTTTCATAACATTAGCTGTGTTTACATGGTAAAATTAATCTAGTGTCCACACCTATAACTGTCCACTTTTACACTGTTTTAGCGAAAAAAAGATAAATTGACTTACATTATCCATGAGGCAACAACCTACAAAGTTGTTATCTGTCCAAAAAACGGGCAATCTAGACGTAAAATCAAATGGGGTAGCCTGCTCTTGGTAAAAAAATCCTTTTTTGGAAAAATTCCCAGTTTCCTTCACTCAGAAAATACATCGTGAACCTAGGGAAATAAAAATTTTTTTTTGAGCCCCGGGTCAACTGTCCCCGAAGAGTTTGCTCGATAAACCAAAATCGCTGAATTCGGTCCGTTGCCTGGACAAACGAAAAAAGTCCGCGGACAAAAAAAAATTGTTCGTTCCGTAAACTGACTATGCTGATTTTAGTCCGGAGAACGGATTAAAATTGCAACTTTGCGCCCAAGTGGACTTGATTCCCCAATTTTAGTCCAAAGTGCCTCCGTGGACTGAATTACACACTTTTGAACGGAATGAAAAATGAAATTTATAACTAACCATCCATATATATAGAAGACTGAAAATAAAATATCAAAATTTTATTCCTGAAAAAATAGAAAGCCATACTGTTTTTCCTATCCCAATATGTAGTGTGCTGATTTCGAATTTCGGGTTCATTTTTTCTGAACTTTACTAGTTTTCCTTAAGTAGTAATGTCAAAAAGTAATTTTTTGAAATTTTTCTAAAAATACTGGATTTAGGGGTTTTCGAGGGTGCTGATTTCGAACATAAGGAAAAAAGTAACTATAAAAAAAAATTAATGTCATTTTCGAAATCAGCACCCTCGAAACCCCTAAATCGAGTATTTTTAGAAAAAATTACTTTTTAGCGCTACTGCTTAAGGAAAACTAGTAAAGTTCAGAAAAAATAAACCCGAAATTCGAAATCAGCACCCTCGAAAACCGCTAAGCCCAGTATTTTTTGAAAAATTTCAAAAAATTACTTTTTAACATTACTACTTAAGGAAAAAAGTAACTATCAAAGAAAATGAATGTCATTTTCGAAATCAGCACCCTCGATACACCCCCTATTTGCCTTCTTTAGCTGGACCTTTTCTTTCACCAAACTGACTTGATTTTTCTCTCCCGCCTCTGGACAGCTCTCGTGTTTTACTGAGCTCTGAAATAGGTACAATAAGCCACGTTCTTCCTTGCCATTGGTTCTATAAACCCGTCACCCTATCAAACAGCAAATTTTCGATCAAAATTCGCCGCCTTCCCACCTAAACACCAAGTACAATGTAGAAAACCTCCTACCTTTCGCCACATCTGTTGGCTCCGGTCCCAGTAGTCCATTTTGAGCGGTACACACTCCAAACTTCTTCCCGAGCAGTGGGTCTGCTTTGAAAGTCAAGTTATCAACGGTGATCGTGGCTCCTTTTCTGAGACGGGCAAGAGTTGGTTTAACTCCGGTCAATTTTCGCATTAAAACATAATCACCGGGTTGCAATGTGTCCCGTTCACGTTCAGAGGTCTCTGCAGACATCTTGAAAGCTTTTAGCAGCTTTGAGATCCGAAATTGACGAGAAAAAATATTTTTTTCTTGAAGAAATTTAGGTGAAACAGAATGCCAAAAATTTTTGACGAATGCCAAGCTCGCGGAAACGGCGATTTTCAAAATTTTAATAGATTTTCTGAAAGTTTAGAGGCTGAAGACGATTTTCATAGCCATTTTGGATAAATCAACCACATTTTTCGATATAATTTTTGACTTTTATTACTTCATCCACATCAAATATTTAAATTACTATACGACTGACAGAACTCAAAATTTCATCGCTGTTTTGGTCGCTCAGTCTGACATGTTCATAGACGTTTTGATTCACCAACACCTCGCACACATTCTTGGTCTGGCCGTACTGTTTTACCAGGGCTTTTTGGAAGGTCCCGAACGGTCGGAAGTCTTCCAAATTGGCCGGAGTTTGAGCCGCTTCTCCGGTCCCAAGAACATTCCAATACCAAAGAGTTGGAGCCGACAGCGCTCGAGAGTTGCCTGTGATCACTTTGTAGTCGTACCAGTTGGTGTAGAAGCTGACAGCAACTTTGTTTGCCTAGATTAAAATTTTCGTCATGGTTAATATAAGAAGTCTCGGATTTTCGTCAAAAAAGTGTCATTTTTTCGAGTAAAACTTAAAGTCATCTTACCGCGGCCTCTTTGGCAAACTCTTGGATGAATTGCACATTTTTGGCGGTGATTTTGCTCCAGCTCAGAGGTGAGGTGATCTGCAGCCAAAGTCCTCTAATGCCCCATCCCTTCTTTTTTGCGACCGACAAAACCTCCGAGACTTGGGTTTTTGGAGTCTTGAGGCCGTCAAGTTCGGGAACGATGACAAGTTGAACACTCAGGTCGTCTGAAATTTTTTGTGAAACTTTTTTTGCTACCACATGTGGCCACATAAAATTGCAAAAGAATCGGTCAATGTTTTTGCATCCCGAATTTTCGAGTCCACAAAAAATCGACTTACAGTGAGGGAGCAAAAGCGTACCATTTTGCATCCGGGAAGTATCAAAAAGTATAGCAAAATGTCTCCCCTTTCAAGTGAAAAAACTTCGTTTTGAAGGACCCTATGCGCCCTTTCCCTCACAAAAAGAGCCGGCGCGCCTTTGAAATGGGATTTTTTCCCTTGGAGAGGGAGATATTTTGCTACATTTTTGGTACTTCCTGGGTGCAAAATGTTAAATTTTTTGCCACTGGATCAGGTCCCCCACTGTATACTTGTCGTAGCGCAGGCAGAGGCCCAGAAAAAATCATACGAGGTGCCTGAGGCCAGGGGTGGCCACCCGGGCCCGTTTAGGCCCGTTTTATTTGACAAAAAAAAATCCCGCGCTTTTTTCTGAGTAACCGGATGGCTTTGAAACTTCGGCTAGCCCTGGGTTTATAGGGGTGCTGACCCTGCAAAATGTTGTCAGATTTTTGATATCTCTTCTCCAAAGCGAGATATCGTAATTGCGGGAAAAGTAAGACGGGCCGAAACAGGCCCGAACGGGCCTAAATGGGCCCGGGTGGCCACCCATGCCTGAGGCTTAACAAAGCCGCTGCAAGCCTTCTCCGACTTTCTGCGAAGGCGGAGAGTTTGCGGAGATTTATTAGTCTGTCGGGAAAATAATCAGCACTCTGTCGCTGCGCCGACCACGTCTCTGAAGTGAAAAAAACTATGGATTTTGCCACGACACAATTCATTTTTTCTAGACAGCAATGCGATTTTCGATGCAACAGTGTGCTTATTATTTTCCCGACAGACTGATGGTCCTAGCGACAATTTTTTATCCCATTTTAACTCACCGTAGACGGCGAGCAAGTTCTTGAACCCAACCTCATCCGGTTGGCCGTTGTAGATCCGAACGAACGCCATTCCATAGCCCCAACGTTTGAAGCATGCGGAGTGAGTGGTATTAACTGCAGCGGTAAAGTCAACTCCTCGAATAAGCGTCACTCGGGAGGCGTTGCCATTACTTTCGGTTGGAGTTGCGTTGGCCAAAACGATTAGAAAAAGAAGAGCGGCAAATTTCAGCATGACTGTTGCACGTCTATGTTCTAAATTAGAATTGACTTTAATTAAATTTAATAACTGTTATCAACTGTTTTCATATCGATAATTGTCTCTCTTTTGTTCTGTTGTCATAGATTAGATTAGTAAAGTAGGGTTAGGGTGACCATGACGCTACTTGTGTCAACTTTCTTGAAGGTCTTTTGGCCCACTTTCGAGCTTGTTCGTTTCTGTAGGGCACCCGCTAAATGCCTTAAAGCTCTCGTAGATGCCTCTTAAAGAATCGCATGACCGAAACGTCTGAAATTGCGACATTAAAGGATTGATATTGCCCGCTGCACGTCAAACTGAGATAAGCTAAAACAGTCCGGTGGAATGGCAATAACCTTGAATATCAACTGGAGTAGATAGGTCACTGCAATCCAAATTTGTGCTAGGTTTCATCGAGATCTGCGCGACACAATTTGGACACTTTGCTTGACAACTTATGCTTTACTTGTTGTAAAAATCTCATCAAAATTTCGGCCAATCAATTTCAACTTTTACTCTCTCGCAGATCATAAAAAATTCAACCAAAATATTATTCTTTCTTTCCCACAAATTCCACGCCGTTCTCCGGCTTCCCTTGCAACGAGCTCGTCACATAGACATCCTGATTCACATACGTTCCGCAGACGTATTTATCCTGCCCGTATTGCTTGAAGAGGGCGCTCCTGAAGGGCCCAAACGCGCGGAAGTCGTTGAAGTTGGAGGGGGTTTGGGCGCCTTCGCCGCTGCCCAGCACATTCCAATACCACAGCGAGCCGGTGGCGATGAGGCGCGAGTTGCCGGTGATCACCTTGTAGTCGTACCAGTTGGTGTAGTAGTTGATTTTCACTCCTTTGGCCTGGAATTTCGGGAGTATCTTTGTGGCACGATTTAAACGAGCTATAGCTTCTTTCGACCGAAAAAACAACCGAAACGACCGAAAAAATGAACTCCAAGAATAAGTCCGATAACTGTAGATGACACTTACGCATGTATAACATATTTGGTATCTGACAAAATGGGGATGTCTGAGGATTCAGGGGAAAAAAGAATTTTAAGATTTGGCCAAAAACTAAAGAAGTTATAGCCAATTTAAGTAACATATGTATAACATATTTGGTATCATACAAAATGGGGATGTCTGAGGATTCAGGGAAAAAAAGAATTTTACGATTTGGCCAAAAACCAAAGAAGTTATAGCCAACTCAAATCGGGCCACAACGATGCCCCACGCTGTATAATATGTATTTTTTTTGTCAATTGTGACATTTTTTGGACGAAATTCGGAAAGCAAGCGCCAATAATGAGCCCGGCAACTTTCCGGAAGGGCCAGCAATCCACTTCTCAAAAACCCCGCCTTACATTTGCCTCTCGGACGAACTCCTGGATGAAGTAGACGTTCCGGGCGGTGCTCTTGTCCCAGCTCAACGGAGATGTGATCTGCAGCCAGATGCCTTTGATGTCCCAACCTTTGGCCTTGGCCGCGTCCAAAATCTCATTCACTTGATATGTGGCGGTCTTGGCGCCGTTCAACTCCGGCACAACAACCAGTTGGACGGTCAGGGTTTCTGAAACCCGTGGTTGAAGTATCATACAGTGGGGGACCTGGTCCGTGGCCAAAAACGTACCATTTTGCATCCGGGAGGTATCAAAAGTGTGGCAAAATGCTTCCCTATCCAAGTGAAAAAAACCTCGTTTTGAAGGGCACACCCAGAAAAAGAGAGCGCGCTTTTGAGATCGGAGTTTTTTCACTTGGAGAGGGAGGTATTTTGCCACATTTTTTGATGCTTCCTGGATGAAAAATGGTACGTTTTTGCCACTGGATCAGGTCCGCCACTGTATCATCCGGAAAGGGCGATTTTGCCACAAAAAAAATTAATTTTTTTTTGCTCGAAATGGGATAATACGCGTTCTATCTCTGACTGCTCTCAGCATTGCGAAAATTTTGCGTTGCCGGCCGCGCGGTGCAAAGACATGTCAAGGTTTCAGCTCACCTATCAGTATCAGTCTGTCGGGAAAATAATGTGGATTGTCGCGCCTTGGAATCGCCCATCATTGCTCTGAGACGGCTGGCTGCAGATTTGGTGCGCAACTGCGACGATACGAGACACTTTCCTCCGACAAATCCACATTATTTTCCCTACAGAGCGACAGTAAAAAGAAATCCCCGGTTATTACTGACGGTTCTCTTAAAACTTGAGTTATGCAGCAAAAGCAATTTGTTAAGTCATTGTTTTGTTTTGAACTTACTATAGACCGTGTCCAAGTTCCTAAATCCGACCTCATCGACTCCACCATTGTAGATTCGAACCAGCACCAAATTATAGTTCAAATTCCGGAAGCAAGTCACATGACGGCTGTCGATTTCATCGACAAAATCCACTCCATAGGTCAACGTGTCCGCCGCTTCGACCTCCTTCTCCGCCGGTGCTGCTGCCGCCAACGCCAGAAGGCAGCAGAGTGAAGTCAACGTGAACATGACTGCTTCCAAATGTACTCGTTGAGCTGCTTTTTATACTGTCTTGCATTGTTATCGGAAATTTTTAATTGTAGGTTCATATCAGCTCATTAATTTTCGCTTTGTTTATCAGTTAAGTTAGCCAACAAAGGAAGTTCAACTGCTTATATTACACAGATCAGAATAGAAGCGAAACCGAAAATTATAATAATTTTCATATGGCAAAATAAACGTTTATTTACAAGAATTTTAAGAGCAGTCTGTCGGGAAAATAATGCGGATTTGACATGAAATAATCTCTCATCACAGAAGCACACCAAATCTCCAGCCGTGGCTAGCCATTGTAAAGCGATGATGGACGATTCCAATTCTATTCAATTCAATTTATTTCCGCTGATCATCTATCAAAAGTGGAGAAACCGGCCATGACTCGGGGCCAAGATGGGGATGTCACGTCGGTTCTCCAGCGTGCCAATCCTCAAGAAGGTCCTGCCACGGGTTGAGCTTCTGCCATCCTCCGGAGGGGTTGTTGCCAGCAACGGCATCGTCGGCAGGAAACCCAACCGCTCACCGCGGTGTGAACGGAAACCTTGGACGGTTCCAAGGCGCTACAAATCCACATTATTTTCCCGACGGACAGAAAAACCTCTGATAAAATAATTATTGTTCTTTCTGCAATTTTTTGAGATGTAAGTTAGTCGAACATTTTTGTGAAATTAAGCAGAAGACCTTCCTCTTATACATATATATACCACATGCCATTTATATATTTCCCCTCTTTTCTATGTACAGAATCCCCATGCCAAACCGAGGCTTTCTCATTTTAATTCGCCGCCTTAATTACGCCAAGACAATCGCCGAGAATGGAGGTCAAAAACACTGCTGGAGATTGGAATGAAAGGTAAAAGAGGGGGCGCAAAAAATCAAGAAATAATGGGATTTGAAGAGGCTGCCCTTGTATGGATGCAAACACAAAAGGTCGTAAATTGCGACAGATTTGGAGCGGGGATATTCGAGATTTGCATAAATATTGAAATTACGGATGAATAAGGTTCTACTGTTCATTTTTGTATGATTTGTCGGGAAAATAATGTGGATTTATCTCATCATTTCCGCTAGCCGTCGAAACGCGGAGATGGGTGATTCCGAAGGGCAGTTAATCCACATTATTTTTCAGACAGGGAAATTTTTTTAGACGATTGATTTTTCGCTGTAAGATGATTTAAATTTAAAAGACGATTTTTGGCTCGCTGCGTCAGCCGCGGACATTCAAAAAAATTTTTTTTGAGTTTTTTAGCCTCAAATGTTGGTATAGGTCACTAAAACACATTCCTAAAATTTTTTTGCCCAGTGATGCCCGGAAGGTAGAAATTTGCATACGGTTATAACCGTCCTTCTGAGCTCTGCTGTTGCCGTCGCAATAAAGACAGCTTGACGAAACCGACACTATATAGGTTTTGGTGGATGGCGAATTTAAAAATCGCAATTTCAAGTTGGTAGGATTACTGTAACATACAGTTTTTGACCTTCGGTCGATAAAAATCGACCGTATCTCCTTCAAATCAAAAATCCCACAAGATTTTATTGCAGATTTGCAATCAGCGTAAAATTCTGGTCTAGGAACATGTAATTTGCATCCTTGATTCCGTGGCAGATAAATCATGGCGCAGTGGGTTTTGACGAAAACTAGTAATCTGACGACCCTGGTTCGATCCCCGCTGGAGACAAATATTGTAAAAAAGATGGAAATGACGTTTAATGGAATTATGAGGGTTGTATGAGCAACGCTGAGTATTTTGAGACATCAATGGAACATGAATTTGAGGTTAAAACAGGATTTATATTATTTTAGTCTCGGAATCCGTGAAAAATAAAACTGCTTCAAACGGGCTGAAATTGATAACACTTATTCTAGGCCTAATTCTTAGAAACTTTTGCGTTAACTTTTTTTCGTTAGATTACTGTATCGTGGATTACGGTAACATAAAACCCAATTATGTTTTTTCATGCCACAAGGCGCAGAGCCATCGGAATATCACGAAGATTGTAGGAATGGTTAAGAACGAGTGGGCTTGCGCATTAATAGTTCGTTTATGGCCGTACGTTTTGAAATACCTGAGTTATCTGACACAATATCACCAATGGATGATGATATTAATTCACACTGAAAATGAGTTAAAATTGCATTTTAAATATGAGGCATGCCCGCTTTCTGCCGTTTGAATAATATAACCAAAAAAAATTTTAATTTTATTCGAAGATTTTGAAGCAATCGCCTTTAAGGAGGCCGAGCTTTTTGTTACCGTAATCCACGATACAGTAATCTAACAAGAAAAAGTTAACGTAAAAGTTTCTTAGAATTAGGCCTAGAATAGGTGTTATCAATTTCAGCCCGTTTGAAGCAGTTTTATTTTTCACGGATTCCGAGACTAAAATAATATCAACCCTGTTCTAACCTGAAATTCATGTTCCATTGATGTCTAAAAATACTCAGCGTAGCTCATACAACCCTCATAATTCCATTAAATGTCATTTCCATCTTTTTTACAATATTTGTCTCCAGCGGGGATCGAACCAGGGTCGTCAGATTACTAGTTTTCGTCAAAACCCACTGCGCCATGATTTATCTGCCACGGAATCAAGGATGGAAATTACATGTTCCTAGACCAGAATTTCACGCTGATTCCAAATCTGCAATAAAATCTTGTGGGATTTTTGATTTGAAGGAGCTACGGTCGATTTTTATCGACCGGAGATCAGAAACAGTATGTTACAGTAATCCTACCAACTTGAAATTGCGATTTTTGAATTCGCCGTCCCGCAAAACCTATATGTAGTCGGTTTCGTCAAGTTTTCTTTATTGCGACGGCAACAGCAGAGCTCAGAAGCACGGTAATATCCGTATGCAAATTTCCACCTTCCGGGCATTTCTGGGCAGAAAAATTTTGGGAATGTGTTTTAGTGACCTATACCAACATTTTAGGCCAAAAAACTCAAAAAAAAATTTTTTGAATGTCCGGCCCCTCGTATTGGCTGACGCAGCGAGCCAGAAATCGTCTTTTAATGTGTCGACTGTTAACCCCGTCCAGCTGACCCGTGAAAGCCTCATAAATCAGTGAAAGGGGGCAAACCGCTGCACATGTTAGCCATTAACCGAAAATTAACAACATATTTCAAGCTTTATGTTGTCCGAGTTTTTTCTGTTCCAATTTTATGCCTCTGGCTCTTGAAATTGGTTTGCTTTCACTCAACTAAATCCAAGATAAGGGCTGTTTGAAAGCGATGGTAATTCAAACCCCACTGTTTTGTCCATTTCACACCCCCATAATGAAAAAATTAGAATAATACAAAAAATGCAAATTAGAGTAAAATGACTCCAGGCGTTTTAGCTCAACCCCCCAGTTACCGTCCAAATTCTTTCTCGTGGTTCAGGCAGCGATAGTCGTTGCCGAGAGAACCCAATCTCGAGTAGGCGCTTCAGATTGGATGAGGGGGTTTGTACTGGGTCAACGGGGGCTGAACTGGACTGGGGGGTTGTACTACCTTAGCCCCCATTTTTTTGTTACAACAATCGACAATAAATTTTTGAAACAAAAAATTACCAACCATTGCCTCAAGTACTTCAAAAAGCCCAATCGTTTCTTGTGTCTGCGTTTTATTTTCATTGGCAACCCTAATTTTCGCTTTGAGACTGAGAATTTTAGTCATTGGGGGCCGATTGGGGGCCTGGCGGGGGCCCCCGGTCGGCCCGGCCCGGCCCACTAGCCATGTCTAGTCTACACCTTGGTTATTGATGTTTATAAGCATAATAAATAGAATTTTTTAGATAAAACTTGTTTATTGGGCTTCTAATTTATTGGCTTTTTGCTGATAAGGCTATCAAGTGTCAAGTGATAAAAATTTGAAGCGATTATATTAGGCTTATTGAAGTTATTTTATTAGGCTTAGAAATATAACCGTGCCGTTCTTTTCGCTGTGCATTTTTTGCAGGTAGAATTAAAGTTTTCGAACATATGTTAACAGAGTCTGAAAGAAGGTTGAAAACGCTATCTACTGATATATATATTCCGTGCGGTCAGGCTTATTCTCACGGTTTTTATAAAGCTTCGAAGATGACCAACTTTAGTCCCAGAAGAATGCCGTTTTCGGGAAATTTTTCCCTGCATGTGTAATGCGAGGAAAAGCCCGGTGACGCATGGCTTACTGAACCTTACTGTGGTTGTGCTTTGTAAAAAAATCAGTCGGGAATGGATTCAGCGTTTCAAATCCCGTGATTTTTCTGATTTTCCAACCCATTTAAAAAAGGAGTTACACCCAAGTGCGGTTCTCAGAATTTCTTCAAATTTTACACATATTTCTGGGACAGGCCATATATAAATTCTAGAAGGTTTTAGCTCGCGCTTTGCAGGAATGGCCAAGAAATTCAGCGATTTTCGCGGCCCATAGAGCATGCGAAAGGCGAAGTGGTTAGAGAGAAAAACATTTTTCGGCGATATCTTTGCCAGTGTCGCGCGGAAAAAATTGGTTTTCAGTGGAAACATTGCTCTCTGTTATAGAAATAGGTATGGGACTTTTCTAAATTTGCCAAAAAGTCTTGAATTTTTGCCAACTTTCGACCTCAAAAACCTCGGTCGTTTTTGCAAAGTGCGAGCTAGGAAAATCGTAGATTTCATATAAAAAATTTATTAAATTTATGTCATTTTTCATCATAACCGAGCGTCGCACTTGTGGCGATTTTCCAGTTATATAACTTTACCTATTATGTAACGAAAAACCGCTCCAAAGATACAAATTGCATCTTCAGCCATTGAATGTCAAGTATAATATCCATATCTCCCACCAAACCCATTTCCGATCAAAGGCGCCCCTCTTTTTCCCTACTTATCCCTCCGTTTTCTCCCTTTCGTTTCCCATGATGTTGATCTGACCTTGACGATGCGCCTCCTTGTATTTCCGCGGCAGAGAATGGTCACTTTTGAAACAATTACCATTTGAAGAAATGGACTTTCCGGATTTCCCTC